ACACAAGAACGCATTGGTTAACAGTGTTTTCCTAAATCTAGCACCCCAGGAAAGTACATTTATCCTTTTCATGATGGTATCATGGTCTGTGAATAGTTTTCCAACCTTTTTTGTTCAAACTAAGTTTTGGTGCATTCATGACTTTTAAGGCGTTTGCAGGCCGAGAGAAAGCTGAAAACGCACAGAACACAAGAATGCATTGGTTAACAGTGTTTTCCTAAAACTAGCACCTCAGGAAAGTACATTTATCTGTTTTATGATGGTATGATGGTTTGTGAATAGTTTTCCAACCTTTTTTGTTCAAACTAAGTTTTGGTGCATTTATGAATATTAAGGCGTTTGCAGGCCGAGAGAAAGCTGAAAACGCACAGAACACAAGAATGCATTGGTTAACAGTGTTTACCTAAAACTAGCACCTCAGCAAAGTAAAATTATCCTTTTCATGATCGCATCATGGTTTGTGAATAGTTTTCCAACCTTTTTTGTTCAAACTAAGTTTTGGTGCATTCATGACTTTTAAGGCGTTTGCAGGCCGAGAGAAAGCTGAAAACGCACAGAACACAAGAATGCATTGGTAAACAGTGTTTTCCTAAAACTAGCACTTCAGGAAAGTACATTTATCTGTTTCATGATGGTATGATGGTTTGTGAATAGTTTTCCAACCTTTTTTGTTCAAACTAGGTTTTGGTGCATTTATGACTTTTAAAGGCGTTTGCAGGCCGAGAGAGAGCTGAAAACGCACAGAACACAAGAACGCATTGGTTAACAGTGTTTTTCCTAAATCTAGCACTCTCAGGAAAGTACATTTATCCTTTTCATGATGGTATCATGGTCTGTGAATAGTTTTCCAACCTTTTTTGTTCAAACTAAGTTTTGGTGCATTCATGACTTTTAAGGCGTTTGCAGGCCGAGAGAAAGCTGAAAACGCACAGAACACAAGAATGCATTGGTTAACAGTGTTTTCCTAAAACTAGCACCTCAGGAAAGTACATTTATCTGTTTTATGATGGTATGATGGTTTGTGAATAGTTTTCCAACCTTTTTTGTTCAAACTAAGTTTTGGTGCATTTATGAATATTAAGGCGTTTGCAGGCCGAGAGAAAGCTGAAAACGCACAGAACACAAGAATGCATTGGTTAACAGTGTTTACCTAAAACTAGCACCTCAGGAAAGTACATTTATCTGTTTTATGATGGTATGATGGTTTGTGAATAGTTTTCCAACCTTTTTTGTTCAAACTAAGTTTTGGTGCATTTATGAATATTAAGGCGTTTGCAGGCCGAGAGAAAGCTGAAAACGCACAGAACACAAGAATGCATTGGTTAACAGTGTTTACCTAAAACTAGCACCTCATGAAAGTAAAATTATCCTTTTCATGATCGCATCATGGTTTGTGAATAGTTTTCCAACCTTTTTTGTTCAAACTAAGTTTTGGTGCATTCATGACTTTTAAGGCGTTTGCAGGCCGAGAGAAAGCTGAAAACGCACAGAACACAAGAATGCATTGGTAAACAGTGTTTTCCTAAAACTAGCACTTCAGGAAAGTACATTTATCTGTTTTATGATGGTATGATGGTTTGTGAATAGTTTTCCAACCTTTTTTGTTCAAACTAGGTTTTGGTGCATTTATGACTTTTAAGGCGTTTGCAGGCCGAGAGAAAGCTGAAAACGCACAGAACACAAGAATGCATTGGTAAACAGTGTTTTCCTAAAACTAGCACTTCAGGAAAGTACATTTATCTGTTTTATGATGGTATGATGGTTTGTGAATAGTTTTCCAACCTTTTTTGTTCAAACTAAGTTTTCATGCTTTCTTGACTATACAGGCGTTTGTGGGTTCAGGCAGGCGACCAAATGCAGGCCGAGAGAAAGCTGAAAACGCACAGAACACAAGAATGCATTGGTTAACAGTGTTTACCTAAAACTAGCACCTCAGGAAAGTAAATTTATCCTTTTCATGATCGCATCATGGTTTGTGAATAGTTTTCCAACCTTTTTTGTTCAAACTAAGTTTTGGTGCATTCATGACTTTTAAGGCGTTTGCAGGCCGAGAGAAAGCTGAAAACGCACAGAACACAAGAATGCATTGGTAAACAGTGTTTTCCTAAAACTAGCACTTCAGGAAAGTACATTTATCTGTTTTATGATGGTATGATGGTTTGTGAATAGTTTTCCAACCTTTTTTGTTCAAACTAGGTTTTGGTGCATTTATGACTTTTAAGGCGTTTGCAGGCCGAGAGAAAGCTGAAAACGCACAGAACACAAGAATGCATTGGTAAACAGTGTTTTCCTAAAACTAGCACCTCAGGAAAGTACATTTATCTGTTTTATGATGGTATGATGGTTTGTGAATAGTTTTCCAACCTTTTTTGTTCAAACTAAGTTTTGGTGCATTTATGAATATTAAGGCGTTTGCAGGCCGAGAGAAAGCTGAAAACGCACAGAACACAAGAATGCATTGGTTAACAGTGTTTACCTAAAACTAGCACCTCAGGAAAGTAAATTTATCCTTTTCATGATCGCATCATGGTTTGTGAATAGTTTTCCAACCTTTTTTGTTCAAACTAAGTTTTGGTGCATTCATGACTTTTAAGGCGTTTGCAGGCCGAGAGAAAGCTGAAAACGCACAGAACACAAGAACGCATTGGTTAACAGTGTTTTCCTAAATCTAGCACCCCAGGAAAGTACATTTATCCTTTTCATGATCGCATCCTTGTTTGTGAATAGTTTTCCAACCTTTTTTGTTCAAACTAAGTTTTGGTGATTCATGACTTTTAAGGCGTTTGCAGGCCGAGAGAAAGCTGAAAACGCACAGAACACAAGAATGCATTGGTAAACAGTGTTTTCCTAAAACGAGCACTTCAGGAAAGTACATTTATCTGTTTTATGATGGTATGATGGTTTGTGAATAGTTTTCCAACCTTTTTTGTTCAAACTAAGTTTTCATGCTTTCTTCACTATTCAGGCGTTTGTGTTTTCAGGCTGGCGACCAATCCAGGATGTACTCCGTCTATCGCCCGAAGTTGGCTGGGATAGACTCCAGCCCCTCCGCGACTCTGTGTGCAGGATAAGCAGTTTGACAATGGATGGATACCTTATTTCCCTTTGTAATTGTATTGCTTCGGTTACACTGCATGAAAAGTGAGATTTTCGTCCCTGTAAACGCCCGGAAATCTCCCTAATTTCCGACAATTTCCGACAATTTGCAACCCGCGCACGTCGCGTTTGTCTGTGCCACAAATTGTCGGAAACGAACCATGACGTAGGGGGAGAGCTGGCGGAGGTGCGAATGGCCCGAATTAGCATATGAATGCAGCGAAACCGCGGGTGGCCGAGCCGAGTGGGCTTGAATATCCTTACTCCTTATTGGATGAAACCACAACTTACTAACAAATAAAATCACTCGTGATTGGCAGCAAAACCACACGTGGGCAGACCAGGCTTGAGTTTCCTGCTTGAGTTTCCTTGTTCATGATTGGATGAAACCACAACTTTCAATCACTCGTGATTGGTTGGCAGATCTGTCGCTATTGGTCACCCGCCTCATTTTATTTATATATTCATATTATGCTGTATATTCATTTCATTGTTATCCTATGTAGGCTACTACACTATTATTAGGATACCAACCAGGACATCAATGAATTTATAGAGAAAATAAACATTTGCCACATGTTTATGCAAAGAAAGAGCTTTATTAACAACACACAAACAACAACTACATACAAAGTGAGGATCTGCCCACACTTGGGTAACGGCGGTTTAAAAACTACAGCTCAGTAAACTGTCCGTTTGCCTCCTCGGGGTTGTAGACCGTCACTGGCGCCGTGTTTTCCGAGGCAGGTCTGTTGTGCAGGCGCCTCGTGTGTGTGGCGACCGTACAATCCACCCCGAGACCCCGCCAACAACGCCGTCCCCTCCGTCCGACGTGAGCTCTACGGTGGCGGAGTTCCACCTCGTCATCAGCCAGCACACTTTGTCTCGATTCCAGCAGCTGTAAAAACAACACTGAATCAGTACTGTGCGATGCGATGCGTACGGACACAACACATCTATCAATGCACCTGAAACAAGTCAGCAAATAAACTCTGACCCTCTTTCTTCTCGCTCGACTCCGCGCTGAATCCTTCGCAGCTTCCGCCTGCAATGAGTGTTCTGGCTGAACCTGAAGCTCCATTGTCCCGTCTCAAAATACGTCTCACAGGCGGCTGGAAAAGGATTAAATGAGTGTGGTATGAATAAAAAAAAAAAAATCAAACCCAAGTCACAGTAACATTTAACAAGGAAGGAGAAACAGTAAACAGTGTCACTTACACACAATGACGTCGTCTAAATCTGGACTTTTCCCGGAGCAAATACGAGGTCACCACCTCATTATGAGGCGAGATTAGTCTGTGAAAACAAAATGTACAGTTATGATCGGTATCTATACGTATATATTCCCTTATACCGCAGAATGAAAGCATATTCTTTAAATGTTACCCTTACTCCGGTTCGTGGCGCCTGTAGTTCGTCTCGGCGTTGTGAAGACGGCGCACCGCTTCCTGTAAACGACACGGCAAAGAAAACACACTTTAATAAAGCTGTTTCTGCTCACTTGTAAGGCTACTAGGCTACTCTTAGCTTAGCTTGAGGCTACGCTACTTTTAGCTTAGCCAGCAGTCATCGAACGTATTATTACCGCTATCTTGGGATTGTGCGCCCGTCTCCTCTTCTTTGAGTCGGTTCCTCTCCTCTATGGACAGAAACCCGCAGTCCCGAACGCTCCAGTGGAGCGAACCGCTCGTTGATATCGGCAGTTTGTTGTTGGAGTTGACGAGACGATCCACTGAGAGCATTTAGCAACTTCTTCTCGTCTGTCTGCGGACTGGCCGAAAGTTGGTGACCGCGGAGAGGAGTTGAAGGCGAGTTGAGCGCGAGACGTCGTCCAGCCATTATTCACGAACCAGCAAAAACCAAACAAAGGAACTGGAGATACAGTTCTTCTGATTATAGTAACTATTTGTATGCTCGTCTTGCAAGTACTGCTGTCTGAGTCATGCCTATGATCTCACACGTGATTGGACGAGGAGTCTAAGGGTCCTCCAATCACATACGAGGTTATTGTTATACGGAAGGACCTGTATTTTAGGAAGACAAATGGTTGGGACTTTGAAACAGCTGATATGCTTTATGTAAAGCAGTGTTTTGGTGTCAGCGGAACGACTTTACCTAGAAAACTGTACAGTGGTGCCTCTTTCTCCATTCCACCAGATAATCTTGGATGAGTCTGACAGACATGCAATGTTGACAATGTATCATCACATGTACCCTTGTGTCACTGAGGTTGAATGTTTTGCCGTGACATGTAAACGGGTAACATATATGAATGTAACTTACTCAATCGATAGATGCAGAGCATAAAGGTCAGCATGTGTTCATAAGTGGTGTGGAAACACTAACAGTTTTGAGGAACCCGTCCTTGACCCTCTAGCAGAACTACGACCAGCCATTATAAAGCAGTTTATAGTTGTTAATGTTGTGTCAAATGGTACGGCATTTAAACATGTTCTTGCACAGGTTTCCTGGCTTCATCCCCACCCGGACAGACATTTTTATGGAAAGCCAATAGAAGTTTGGGGCTTGCAGGGAACAGACACGTCATACCCAGCATCATTTCTGCCAGTTGAGCGCATTGCTAGAAGATGTGTGGTTAATACATCCTCTGTGCATTTAAGTAAGACCAAAGAAAATGTCACTGTAGTCCTGCCACTATGCACTGTAGTTGAGCTCTAGGAGACTGTGATCTCTGCAGACCCCTCATTCTGATTCAAATGTTGTTTGCATGGAATGCTCATTTTACCTTTATTAAAACTAATTTTTTAAAGAAGTTATTTTGTGTATCTTTTTTACATAACATTTGCCATTGCCAATGGCGTACACAGTAATGTAGCATATTTTATTTAAATAAATCAATTCAAGCTAAAATGTAAGAGTCTATAATTAGGCTACTGAGCCTGATCTATTTGTACCAGAGATTTTCTTACCTTTTAAAAAAATGTCACCTGGGCTAAAACTCCCTCTGCGACCCTGATTTGCATTTGTATAGCTCACAGCATTTTTCATTTACATGTCAAAGCCTCCCCTAGGATTAGGAGCAGGGGGGTCATGGGGGGACAACTGCCAAGGGAGGCCCACATCAATTTCTGACAATTTACGGCAGTTTTCGGCGTTGCCCGCAAATTGCCGCAAACCTGAAATTCCACGACAATTTACAGTGCCGCATACTGCCGAAAATCCCACTTTTCATGCAGTGTTAGTTATTACATTCTTTATCATTTTTAAACTTGTTGACTCTTTTTGACTCTTGGGCGTGGGTGCAAAAGGAGAAATCCCCTTCAAGGGGGGCTCTTGTTCAAAACTTGCTCTTTTTCCTTCCGGTGATTGAGATACCTTCTGAGATTTCATTCATACATAATACTAAAAAGCTCTTATGTATGCGTGTGCATAGGTTTACAGAGTATGTATGTATTTGTTGTCTTTTTCAGTGGGTCTCGGTTTTTGAATTTAAAAGAACCCCAAAATGTTCTTGTCTCAGCCTGGACTACATCATGCTCCAGAGGTAAATCATATCTTCGTAAATTAAATGTCTTCGTAAATTAAAATTAAAATACAGATAGAGAAGATCTCCATCTGTATTTTTTTGTGTTTTAAGGTGTTTATTGTCAAGTTCAGCAAGATGGATTACCAGCATTTGGGTTTTGCCCAGTTTTAGTATGTTTGTCTTCCAGCTATTTCAGAGAAATGATCTTTGTACAAGACCACACATACAAACATGACTTGTATGTGTGTCAATTTTGTCTCCTCCTAATAAATGTGTTTAATAATTTTACAAGAATAGACATTAGTGGTAGTCTTTTTATTGTGCTAGATCATTTTATGTTTCGTTATGTATTTTAGTCATTCAAGCCACTAAAATTTGATCCTCACATTTCAAGTGTCAAGTTACAAAGCAACCCTGAATCACAAAAAATCCAACTTAAAATAAAAATGTGCGCAAAGAAATCAATTCAAACTATGACTATAATGCAAATGTTTTCATCTTGTCTCTTTTTAACATGCAGAGATAATATTGAATTCATAATTATTTCTTTCATAATTATTTATTCAACTTTCAATGATTCTTTATCATTTTTTGTTCAACCCAACAGTGGCAACAGATCCAGCCCATTTTGGTCAGATTTACTCGTTTTGTGAAATCTTGTCCCCCTCCATGCAAGATGTAGTTGATGAAAACAGAACCTCTATAAATTGCATGTCATACATAGAGCTATTATGCATTGTTGAACCAATTTAGAACATTCTCCTTGTTTTCTGTGATCCATTTTATGTTGCTGACGGTTCTCTCAATGGACTGCTCCACTGCCAGTGTCCCAGAGCCAAAACCAATCACATTGTTCTCTGCCTTAAACTGCTTCAGCTGTCACAAAAAAAATAACACAGGTGAGTTGTTTTGGAAGGGGATAAAGTCATCTGAGGTCAGGCAGCAGCAAATAACAATATAGAGTCACGCTAGTGATGTGTCGTTCGTGAACAATTTGTTCATTTTGAACGAATCCTTACAAGGACTCGAGAGTAACGAGTCCTCTCAAAAAAAGATTTGTTCATTTTCTCGTGGCCACGCATCAAGCGACTTGCATAGGCTAAGCCAAGGAAACAGAAATGATTTGTTGAAATCAGGATCACCATTGAAAATTTCTCCCTTTCTGCCCACCCAGATGTTCCCAGTGCTGAGCCTATGCAGGTCACGTGAAAAATGAACGATGAACAAATCATTGATTTACTCGCTACCAGTGCTGAGCCTATGCAGGTCACGTGAAAAATTAACGATGAACGAATCATTGACCCGAAGACACGGTCGGGAGGTGAACGATTCTTTCATCTGCCGGATACAGATCTGTAGATCATTTTTCACGTGACCTGCGTAGGGTCAGCACTGGTAGAGAAAACATAAATGATTCGTTCATTTTGACTGGGTCTTCGGATACGGATCTTAGGATAATTTTTCACGTGACCTGCGCTCAGAAGAGGAAACAGAAAGGATTTGTTTACCTCGTTCACTTTCGCATGGCTAGGTTTTGTAAGACGTGAATGATATTCCTTCACAAGTAATAATTACAGGTTTCGTTATTTGAACTTTTTTGTACTTTACTTAGAGTTCAGCGTAATAGTTATGCCCCCCCCCCCCCGAAATGAATGAATGACTCGAAAAAAGATTCGTTCATTTTACTGAACGAGATTCAAAGAACCGAGTCGGTAAAATGATCCGAACTTCCCATCACTAAGTCACGCTGGTGTCGATTTAAAAAAACAGAGGACAGCATTTTAGGTACTTGGGATTTTTTTTACAATAAATCTTATATTTTTTAGAAAGAGAAAAGATTCGACTGTATTGTCATTGCACAGAGTACAGGTACTGAGACAACGAAATGCTTCTCTGCATTTAACCCATCCCACACAGTGCAGAGCAGTGTGATGCCAGAAAGGTGCCCGGGGAGCAGTTAGGGGTTAGGTGTCTTGCTCAGGGACACTTCGGCATGGAGCAGCCGGGTTTGAACCAACAACTCGGCGGTTCCCAGCGCACCCTCACTACATCATGCGCCATGCTACCCCCTTTTAACATCGGTTTCTACACATGTGAGGCTTCCCTGTGTGTTAATCTGCACAACACAGTAGCTGTGGCTTCTGTGGTGCAATATAAACATAAGATATTTTCCCAACCCTGAAATCCAAAAAGTTCATCTCTATATTAAATTTAGCTGATATTGTCATAATTAAAGCAATTATCATGCTAACCAGCTGTGTTTTGGAGTTGCAGTTGGAAATTCAGTTTGAATGTTTTTCTCTCAAATGGGCAGGGCAAGATCATGGTTAGTTCAGAATGTACTGCTAATCCAGAGTAAAAAAGTTATAATACAGCAGCTACTACAAAGTCCGTCAACTGATTTCAACAGCATCAAGAAACAACAAAGAAGTTAATGCCCACCTGCTAGTTAGCAGGTGGGCATTAACTTCGAGGGATCATTTAGATTTAAATGGAGCACAAAAAGGATTGCATCTTTTTTGACACAACAATCTAAACTCCCATCCCGTTTCATCTACCATTGATATGATCTCAAGCAAACAAAGGAATACATTTTGCGCCATGGACTTGGTAACATGAACAATCCCTCAAAATAGATGTAAAATATGTTTGATTCCTGGTGAAATTTGGGCCAAATAAATTTCTAAGAAACGATTTGGGGATAAAAAGGTAGAGGATATCTAACCTGCTGAAGCTCAAATTCAGTGGAGAAGCGCTTGGTGACTCCATTGATGAGGTTGGAGAAGGAGAAGGATCCACCACCATACCTGTGTCAAGACATGACAGAAAAATAAAAGCTTTTACAATTGGTGAAAAGCATTTCTCCACAAAGAAATCATCAGAAATGTAATATTTGCTAAATCTACCTATATGACCAACACTTACAGATCACGGTCAACGTCCGGTTATGAAAAGTGAAACCAATGCGAAAGGATCTTAAACATGCATTATCTCTTTTTGCCTGGCCCCTGCTGACTTATTATTTTATTTTTTAGTAAACAGGAAGTGCAGGATTTCTCCTTCTGATGGGACAACGAGGACCTCTCTGATGTGTATTAAAGCTTCTCCTTACCCCAGCAAGCTTTGTCAGACCTTCTTGCTCCTCAGCGGGAGAAGGAACCCTCTGTCCATTTTCAGCTGAATTGTGTCATGGCCTCATGGCTTGTGTTTGATGATTTTTCTATATGTTAGTCTGTATTAAATACTTAATCACGAACAAGCTTAAGATAGTTTTGAATTCTCAAAGGGACATTTATCCACCAATTTCCACAACAGTGTCTCAAGCCCCAATTTCAAATCTTCATTTGAAATGTTAATTTATGAATAATGAAGTTAAGCCGGTGATGCTTTAGGTAAGGGGATATCGTGATTTACAGGGTGCTATCATAGTGTGTATCGTAGTCTTGGAAATGTCCGTGATTTCGTCTTAGCTTAGCTAAAAATGTTTTAGTGACTGTTCACTTGCAATTGGCTTGACTCTCTCACTTCTGGTTGCAAAAAGCCAATATGGCAATGAACAAAAACCAAAATGGCCCTGGCCAAAGAGCTAAGTGTGGACAGGCGGCGGTCGAAAAAACAATTGTGGATTGTACTCACTCTGCAAAAATGAATGACCATCGAGCTCTGACAAAGTCCCACGCCAGAGACTGTCCAACCACATTGTTAGCAATGTAAACAATGGTGGAGGTGGCATCTTGTTTTCTGATCTTGTCTGGATGAAGAGTGTACTCCAGGAACCTCAAAGGGGTAAAACCAGAATAGAAAGAGTGTGTATATATATATATATATATATATATATATATATATATATATATACACACACACACACACACACATCAGTGTACTGGTCAGTAATTGTCAGTTATATGCTGTTGTACACTGCATGACAGCATTAACAAGCTGTTTGTGAGCAGACCTGTTAAGCAGCCAGGGTTGCTTCGTGCAGGCCAGGGCAGAGCGGAGTTTGTCAGCTTCAATGGCAATGGTGGCTTGCTCAAACTGTGACCAAGCAAACTCCCACTCTTGAGCGCCACCTGCTGCAATAGCATTACAGTAGACAGTGGAGCGAAGGTTGGGGTGGATTCTGAAGTAAGACAGGTACAACATAGTTGATGGAGGGAAAGATGCTCTAAAAATACAGTGAAGATTAAAACAGTGAAACTATAACATGTTGCATGATGGGCAATACACTCACTGGTTTTCACTTGAGTTCATCCATTCATTGAACCATTCCTGGGACAGATTTTGGCATTCTTCAAGGCCTGTCCTGCACGCCAGGCTGATAGCATTCACTTGGTTGTACCTTCAGGAAGAACAAAAATGAAAGATGATGCCCAAAGACTGAGTGCGGCTGAATAAGCCGTGATCAAAAACAGAGACCAATAATAGAAATCGAAACACGTTCTCACTCCCAAACCTTCAAATACTGAGGCTTGATGAGTCCCCCTTGGTAGAAAAGCACAAGGTACCTCTTTCGTATATGTTTTCAACATGATGGTGGTTAAATATAGGTTAGTTACATGCAGAGTAACCTTTAAAAATAAACTTTGATCAAAACTACATAGGTTCAAGAAAAGACAGTGACTAATGACCAAGTGACTAAAGACACACGTCACAATGAACTGACTAATGACTCCTGCCTCTACCAATGTCTCTACCCAAAGCTAAATACTCATCAACATCATGACTGTTTGCTGTCCTAGCTCCTAAATGGGGCAATGTAATCCCAAATGACATAAAGAGAGCAGAAAGCTTAGACAGCTGAAAACACACATTTTCCAACTATACCTGGACTAGTACTTTATTAGCACTTACTCATAGCACTTTGTAGTTTGGATTCCTTAAGGAAATTGTACTTGATTCTTGTTATTCGTGGTCTGTAGCTTCTTGGTTCAATGCACTTCTTGTAAGTCACTTGGGATGAAAGGGTCAGCTAAATAAAAAATATAAATCTCTCTCCCTCTCCAGGTTAGGGATTTAAGAAGAGCACGCCTAGAATTGTAGTTTGTGTGCTATTAGATTAGTTGTTACCAGAGGTGTCAAAATTATTCACATTCATTACTCAAGTAGAAGTATAGATAGTAGTATCAACTCAAGCTTGTGCCGTTCTGAAAAAGGATCCGACCACCGGAGGAACCGACCACTTTTCGCACCCGGCGTCACTCTGATCTGCGGGTGCGTTGAGGAGAAAACCAATAGGGTGTCTGGATGGTATATGGTTAAACTTCTCATCCAACCACAATCAAATTCACTTCATCCAGGTGGTGGGATTTATCTCGATTCGTTTTTTTTTGTGTGTGTGTTTTTGAACGACGACAAGCCGGAAGTAATGGGGCTATTTTTAAAATGTAACGAGTAGAAAGTACAGATATTTGCGTGAAAATGTAAGGAGTAGAAGTAAAAAGTCAGAAAAATAAATACTCCAGTAAAGTTACCCAAATGTTACCCTAAGACACCCAAAATTTCTACTTATGTATGTCACGGTTTGGATTTGTTTCCTGTTTTATTTTGTAATTTCCTGCCTCTGCCTAGTCCCTCAGTTAACTTCTCTTCCTGCCTTGTCCTGTCATCCACTGTGATTGTCTGCCGTGTCTCTTGTTTCCACCTGTGTCCAATCCCCTGCACCTTCCCAATGTATTTAAGCCCTGTGTGTTTTTTGTCCCTTGTCGCGTTATTAAATGTTCAACCCTGAATGGCTTGGTTCCTGGTCCCTGTCTGTGTTTTTCCCACTCTGGTGTCTATTTTGGATTTTTGGGTTTAATAAAGTAGTTTTTGTTATCAACACTGCATCTGGGTCCTACCCGATCGTGACAAAGTAAGGTAACAAAGTATTTGTACTTTGTTATTTGACACCTCTGGGAATTACATTAGTATGTTTGATTAATAACTGCAATATGAATTAAACACAATTCATAGTCATTTAATTACTGTACACAACATCCTAACGTTAAAACCTGGTGGAAGGACCCTTAATCCTGTCACGGTGTGGTTCACTTCCTGTTGTATTTTGTAGTTTTCTGCCACTCGTGTCCCCGGGTAACTTCACTTCCTGCCTTGTCCCGTCATCCCCTGTGATCGTCTTAATAGTTTCCACCTGTGTCCAATCACCTGCACCTCCCTTGTGTATTTAAGCCGTGTGTCTCTTGTGTCACTTGTCGCGTCATTGTCTTTTGCCACGCATGTCCTTGTCTCTCGTCGTTTGCAGTTCCTGTCTCCCGTTTTGCCCCTTGCCCTTTTGTTTTTGCTTTTGACTATTAAAGTCCCTTTTCTTTTTGAACTCTGCGTCTGAGTCCTGCCTCCCACCCACATCCCTGACAAATCCTTCCTTATGGATTTCTCAAATTTTCTCCCCAAAGAGGGTTTTTTGGAAGTTTTTGTATTTGGAATCTATTCAAATGTTGGAATGATGAGAGACAGAGAGAAAAGTGAGGTTTCTGGTCTAGCCACGGAGGAATGCAACCAAAGGAGAGGAGCTGAAACCCCTGAGTGAGTGTGGCTGAAATCAATCTGCTGACTGTTGCGACGGTGAATAAGAGGCTCAGGAAGCCAGGCAAACAAAGCCTTTGATTAGCTTGCTTTTCTTTAAGATCCAACTAGTTTGCAAATGTCATGTTATTTCTTCCCTTAAAAAGGTATGACTTTTGGAACTGTAGTGTACTGTGTTTTTTTCCATACTCACTGATCCAGGTGTCCAGGAGGTACGATAGTCCAGTTGAAAGTCATTCTCTTGTAGTACTCAAACAGAGGGGTGACCTGTTTCCTCAAATAATTCTACAAAAACCAAAAACAGAGCGAATACAACTTTCAAATTATATTAGTGTTTTTGGACATTTTCTTTTCATTGTTGCTGATATGTTTGGCGGTAAGGAAGCCCACCTGCATGGGACCATAAACCTCGTTGCGGTCAAACATGAGGTAGAAGAAGTCCAGGTTACTCAGGGCTGACTCCCAGGGCATATAGTCTGTCTCTTTGATCAAATACTTGGTGGTATCCAGGGCCAGTACCGTAGAAATCATCTTTGCTCTTTTGGGGTTACAAAATTATGAAAATTAATGGGTTATCCAATATCCAAATTTGAATGGTATTAAATATTGTTGCAACCAACTTTAGTAAAGTGTTTCTACTTTACTGGAGGTAGCAACAGCGATCAGCATTGCAGATTATTCTCTTAATATATGAGACCGTCTATGTATTCTCATATATTAACAGGACTTACCTGGCTAGGTTAAAGGCATCATCCACCAACTGAGCTCTGTTGATAACTGGAATAAGCTTGAAAAACAAGAGTATGCCAGTCACTATTACTACAACAACAACTTAAATCAGGAATCCTGTTTAATGTAATACGCATCTCACATTTTATTAGTTAAGCTTTAAATATATACCGTATGATTGTTGCTCAGAACTTCTACCAGTCTGTTCCAGTTGCCTAGATCATAGTTGACTCTGTAGTAACCGACTACATTGAGGTTGGCCAGAACCCAGTCACCTCCTGATGCCTTCATCTCATTTATTGTGGCTAAAGAAGAAAAAGAGTTTGGAGTTAGTCGTGATCGTTATTGGCACTGAGTCATCAGCTCAGTTTCCCAGAATACATGCCCATGGATTCAATAGGCTCGTTCGAAAAGAGCTGTGCCTTCTCTTGAAAGTTGATGTGTGACCTTGTTTAGATGTGTTAGTAAATATATACAATGGCAATATAAGACAGGTATTTAGATAAAACAGACTGACCTATGCACCAGAATCCTTTCCTGCAACAACGCAGCCTGCATGACATGGCCCCGGTTAGCCAAGTGCGCAACGCTAGTGTGGCATGCTGAGTCATGTGTAGTTCAGTGAGTACAAATTCTAAGGATATCATGGCATATGGCACAGAAATGAAACTTTGTGCTTTGACACAGTTGTGCTTCTTTTTTAGTTTTACAAAAGTGTAGTTATTATCTTGAACAAGGCAGCTACTCCAAAAAATAAGCGCAATAAAAGAAAAGGTTTGTAACGGATGGCAGAATTTAACAAATGCAAGCTAGCTAATCAGTGTAGAAAACTGAGTTTCTTCATAGAAATCAAGGGGATATGGGTCTGTTTTATTGGCAAAAAAATGGGTCCAAGCAACAACATTCTCTCATGCTAACAAAACACAACGTATTAATGGAAACCATTCTAAGTGGGTGAATTGATAAAACAGTCACCAAAGTATGAGGTTTAATATGTATGTGTATCATTTTTAGTTGATCATACTGTTCATCTTGAACCTAATGAACATCTTAAAAATATATTACACAGTATTGATGCGTTAATAAGCCTTATTGTGAGAAAAGATAGGTTTCTGAAAGGCAGCAGAGCAGAAACAGTTGGTGAAGAGGTTTTTCAAGAGATATGCCAAGTGATTTCGGGGGTGCAAAAGAACTGCCCTGTTCAAAGATCTTTTTAAGTGTCATGTGGCTGTTCAGAATTTATTTTTTCATGACACGCGTGGAAACTACTAGTAAGCAAATATAACGTTTGGTGTTAGTTGATTTCATTGTAAGGTTTACATTATATCATTTGCCCGACAATTAAGTCTGATATTATGGCACAAGGTCACTGTTTGCTTAGTGGCGACCCTAGGAATCCCATAAACGTTTTTCACTGCCTGTGTTTTGTTCTTTCTCTATTCTAATGTGAAACCACAGCTGTATAATAATAAATATATCACCGCCAAGCCTAAAGTTCCACATTAGTTTCGTTGAACGCTGCACAATGTAGGAAAAGATACACTTATGGATTTACAGTACAGTAACTGCCGTTTTGCTAAGTTCTCCTTGCTTGCTTGTTATTCTCCTACCAGTGGTTGTATTTGTTCATATTAGGGATACATTAGAGGTTTATATATATATATTTCATGTAGATCAGTTTCAGAACCACACAAGCTGTTTGACTAGTATCAAAGGAACATCTTGTCTGGAGAGCATTCTAACTGATGGCCACTAGTAGAATTATACAGTCCTTCCTGGGGCAATCTAACACCACCTAATTAATAAATACCATTCACAAAGCTACCAATCACAAAGCCATCTGCCCATCAGTTACATCACATTCCAATCTTTCCCAAAGACACATGCTGGCCAGAAGAGACGGGATCGAAGCGCAAAGTTTGTCTGGTTAAATATAAACTCGGATGTAGATTTTTTAGATCTCCAGTTTCTTCATTTACATTCAGTCAGTTCAGTCATGAAGATTATCTTTAAAATAAGACAATCCATTATAAATCATAGGGATTAGCATCACTACTACTCTATTATTCTACTTCAAGATGGAGTCCAATAGCCAAACACTTGCACCATATATTTTTTATGCATGTGCACAAAAACAATGACATTTTTTAAATTTCAATTCCAAGACACTTTACATTTAAATATCAATCGTGCTTTTATAGGTGAACTCTGTCACGACGTGCATTTCTTTATTTTAAGTAATATTAAAATCATTAAAATAGAGAAAAGGGTGTTTCTAAAGTCATTAGATACACGCAGTCAAGTTTAGTGTCTGAAGAACCTACCTGATTTACCCCTCAACCATTGCGGTTCTTGAATGTCTCTAGTTTTCATCCACTTGATTGGAACAATCCATTCATATCTGTAGGACAAACAATTGTTTTATTTCATATATATATATATATATATATATATATATATATATATACGTAAAAGGCATTGCACATACTTGAAGGGAGATACAGCCGTAACTTCTGAGTCTGGATCTAAGAGAAAGTGTTCTTGGGACACGACCCCACTTGTGGTGTTAATTGTAACCACAGGAAAGCCCATCTGCAGCACCCATGTGTTCATGATATTTTCAACAGTGTCAGGAAGTTGAGTTCTGCTAGCATTAACAGCCTGTGGAAGAAGAAATTATAAAGTAAATCAACAGTAGGTTGATAGGAACTAGATATCTTTTAGATTAACACATTAGCTCAATGTTCAATATATTTAAGTCTTCAGAGATGAACATGCCATCTGCAGCTGGTTCCATAGGTCTGTGTATACTGCATTCCCATATGCAAATGTATCCAGGTAAGTCTGCGGGGCAGAGAGAAAAACATGATATTGGAGGTTTCTGACTGCTTTCCCTGAAAGCTTTGTTGCTCACGCAGCACTTTAAATTCCATATTTTCTTAATTTAGATGATAATCCTTTTGATGGGAATTATAATTACTCCATTTACATAGCTGACCATTATGGTTGAAACTCTGTAATTACTTGCTTTTTCAGTTATCAGATATAGTCTACCAAGATTCTAATAGAGAATCAATTGGTCAAGACCATAGATCACGAATCACGCCCTGGATGTTTACGGAACCAATTTATAGATTTACTGTGTCAAACAAAGGGAGAAGACACTAGCACTAACATTAAGTATTTTTCAGGTAAATATCGGATTGTATGTCTCAATGAAGTCAATACCATTAGTCCCTCTCTGAAGACATCTTCTGTTAGGAAGTCCGACAACATCCTCAGAACAGATGCTCCCTGAGAATGACCAAACACAATTTAAATCCTTATTAAAGATAATTAAAAGAATGTAAAGATTAATATATGGTTTTCAATGACAGAAATGAAATGCACAACCTGAATGGATTGCTATAAAGATCAGAGATGGCTAAAGTATGGCGCTGCTATTGAGGATTGAGTGTATAAGGTTACCTTGCTGTATGAGATGGCGTCAAACAGCTCACTGATCTGTGCAGGTTTCTGGATGTCCTCTTCTCTGGAGGAAAGGGGGTGAGAAGAGGCCAGAGCATCGACGGCAAACACCCTATGGACGTCACTGAGCACGATGAGGTCTTTCTATTATAAGACATATCAGACATTAAGGCCCAAACTGCCCTGATCAGTAGCAACATTATTTAGGCCATGGGGTGGCCATAGGGTCGCAATGAAAGTCTTACCAAATTCCAGTCGGGTTCAGCCTCGTGTGCTCCCAGGTACTCAACATAGGAGGCAAAGCCTTCATTCAGCCACAGGTCATTCCACCATCTTAAGGTCACCAGATTACCAAACCACTAAAGGAACAGCAAAGAAAAAAGAAGTGAATCTTGTGCCAAGTAATAACTGATCTTGATAATCTTTACATCTTCCATCTTCTGCCGCAAACTAAAGACACACCTCTTCAGACTATACCTTGTCTAAAAACTAGGGCTGTCAACATTAATGCATTAATCTATGTGACTAATGTGGCCTAGATTAATTAACAAAATCCATCCATCCATCCATCCATCCATCATCAAACCGCTTATCCTGCACACAGGGTCGCGGGGGTGGGGCTGGAGTCCCAGCCAACTTCGGGCGATAATTAACAAAATATATATATATATATAAATATATGTTTGTTTGTTTCACAAGTTAACCGCAGAAATAAAGAGCCTTTTGCATTGGAAGTAAAACAAACAGTGGTGTGACATAGAGCAGAGAACTGTGCAGATGAATTAATCCATGTGTCAAACATGGGTGAGAGGCAAATAGAGCACTTAAAGCACTGCTCTGTTAAGCTTGCTGCTAGGCTAAGCTAGCTGCTATGCTACTTCCATCTCAACTTCTAACATTACCCTGCATGGCACACAGTCAGCAGAGGGCCACCACTGTGTCCCTAAAAGACCGTGGTTTGAAAACGTTCTGGCTAAATTTTGGGAGATTATTGGCACTTCAAACAGAGCCGTTAAATGATGGAGAGTTGAGAGCAAAGTGCACAGACAACAGGTAGAGTCACTAGTTCAACATGTTCCACCCATGTGGAATACTGTCTCCAAGATGATCAAATGTGTGTCGTTCTGTGTTTAAAATATCAAACAGTGTCTGATATACACACTTTCTAGCGATTACTCATTACTTTTAAGATTCAGTCTGATTAAAAACAACGTAACAACAACAACAACAACATTCATTAATCGCCATTAATCAAGATTAATGAATTTCAAAATGTGCGATTAATTAGTTAATTTTTTTAAATCTATTGACAGCCCTACTAAAAACACTAAACACATTGTAACACTTAAATTGTACTTATGGCTCTTATCCATAGCAAGTTGTAAATCAGCTTATTTGATGAAATTGCACTTTCTTGTTCTTCTGGGTTTATATCCTTATGGTTGAAAGCGACTTATTGTAAATCGTTTTGGATAAAAGCATCAGCTAAATGACATGTAATGTAATGATACTAAAAATTCATAAGCCTCCAGACCTGTCGTGTGGGAGTTATAACTTGTGTAACCAAACCCATCAAAGATCTGTTTTGCAAGATTCAATAGACATTGTGAAGTGATACAGTTTCTACTGTTAAATCCAAACCATGTGAGCCAGTTCATGAGCAATGATGGTCGCAATCCTTTGCTTGTTGGAGTTGGAGGAGAACGCTTCATCGTAGAGCAGTGCTGTCTCTCTGTATGTGATCAGACCCCAGTTTTCCATGGCTCCAGCATTAAAGTCTGGTAGAGCTATTTGATCTGTATGATGCAATATATTATTAGTGATTGATAACAATTGGATTAACTGCTTGTTAGTTGAGTTCTAACGGCATCAATGTTGTACCAATGTAACAAAATGAGAGGAAGTTCTGAATATATTGACCTACAAATGGACGACAACGGTTTATGAATGTGATGAACAACTGCACATTAAAAGGATCAAGTTTGAGGTCTATATAAGTGATACTGTATGGAATACCGAATCATCTCAGATCACTATTCCAATGCCCTGGCTTGAATCAATTAAAACTGAAAGGCACTGTCACCCTTGTAATAAACACATACTGTATGTCTTGCATCAATAACATTGTGTTCAGAATGAGTAACACCGCTGATACATTGAAAGTGGGAGCAAATGGCTAGAAAAAGAGGTTTTTGAGGTTAACCACAAAAATGAAGCTAATTTGATTGCCAAAACTACTGCCCATTGATAGAATGGTTTAATCAGATTAGAAGTCAGAATAATGAATATCTTGGTGTATTGTGTGTAAATATACAACAAAACAATGAAAGGTTTCCCCGAAGCACATTTGATAACATACATTTAACAAAGGCATATGAAAAGGATCGAAATTACAAAATTGCCTAATACTATCATCATTCTTGGACTTACCAGACTTTGGCAGAGGGTAACTGGAATTGTAATACTTCTCAAAGAACTTAAGGATAGGTCCAGTTTTGTTAAGGGCATAATCTCCTTGTTTAGCAGCAATAGCAGGCTTCCTTGCGAATATGCGAATCTAAAACAATACGCAAAATAAAAAACAGTGTCATTATGTACATTAGTTTTAGTGGTAGACTGGAATCGTCAACTCATTGATCGCATAAGATCAATGAAACTATCACACTAAAGCCTCTGACTGCAAGGTCTTCAACTCCCGCCTACAAGAAATGTTCTAGTGCATTCGAGGGGAAGCTGGATATTAGTGAGTTATGAGTTATGGAATAAGTGTGGGCAAATCGGCTTTTTGCAGTTGCCATAAGGTCATTGGTACATGCTGTGGTAACCATCTAAGAACTTGCTATAGACACCAGGGGTGTAGAAGCCCATCAAGTCAAATAATATTGTATATATAATATTGCACTGCTCGTGTTAATAATTAGACCAACTATTCAAAATCTCTTGACAACATCTGGAAATATCTTGTTGGTTTATTAAGAACAAACTTAACTAGTCCGGGGAAAATTTGGCTAACACGATTGTTGGATTGGTATTGCAGAGCAAAGACAGCACATGATCATCTAGCGCAAATGATAAGCCAAAATCACTTACCAAAACTCCATCAACTGTATTACTGATGAAGTCAAAGTCACTGACAATGAACGCCAACAGGTAGGTGGACATTTTTTTTGTTGGCTCAAAAATGGTCATTTGCACATTGTGACCATCTATGGTGACGTTGCTTGATTCTGTTGGAAACATATAACATTGAATAGACCTAGATTTCTTTGCTTGAATTTGGAATCTTTAACTTACTTTGAATTCAAGTCAATTTTTTCTATCAACTGTCAACAGTTCCACCCGTAGAATGACTTTACGTCCACAAATATCTCCTCCATATATTTCATTGATTTTGTCTTAAATTTTCAAAATGATCCTGCACAACTACTATTCTACTTATTCTAGTGAAACTTACGTTTTACCTCGCCATTGGAAAGGGCTACAGTTCCAACATCGTGGATCAGTGTGATGTAGAAAACAGATTTCATAGCTGGCTCATCAAAACAGGGGAAGGCCTTCCTGGCATCTGTTGGTTGCATCTGAGTAGTAGCAACAACCCTGGCAGGCGGTAGACAAAGTTGAAAATATTAGTTCATTAGTGTTTTGCACCCAGACCATCTTCTCCACTGAATAAATATAGTCAGGCTGCTTCAGTCATTTTTGCGGTCAAAACTCAGTAACTCAGGGATGGGGGCGGCAGCGAACGGTACCGTTGACGGGGGGTACGCCAAAGTCGGTACCGGCCAGCCGGACTTGGCCCGTGGGCCAGAGTTTGAGACCCCTGTAGTAGTGTAACACACTACACAGGATAAAACCATTGAAACCAGTTGTTGCGCCCAAAACCCATTGTCTGATCAAGCGCTCTACGACTGCTAGGTCGGGCTTATCAAGCTGATACCAATCAGTCTGAACCCAACATACATTGATGAAGTAAGGCCTAATATGACCCCAGATACTTGACAGGCAATTCCTTTAGAAGATTCTAAAGGAATTGCTGATAGTCTTACTTCATAACTTATTTCTTATTGTTTGTTGCTGCTTAGAACATGTTACAGATTTTTGCCCGCGGGATATTTCAAGGTCAATGAATACATACTTTTTTATGCCGTCCTCCATGTATTCGCTTCTATAGAAGCCTCCAAGGTCATTTGCCAGCTCTCCCTGAAACTTTGTTTCCAGGTGGTACTTGTGGTCCTTAATCAGTTTAACATCCAGCTGCAGGACTAGATACTGTGTCACATTCTGGAGCCAGGAGTTCTTGATTGAGGGGGCTTTGACCTCACTATTGACTGATGTGAGCCGGGCCAAGTGGACGTTATCCAATTTTGTGTAGTTCAGCTTATTAGAGTGGATAAGAATCAGGTCAGTCTCTTCAGTGCACTCAAACTCCACACTGGACTCACCTGAAACAACATGAAATAACTTCAACTGTGATCAGCAATAGTAAGAAATCCATTGGCTCAAATTCAAATTTTCGAGTTGCTGGATATTGGAAAATATAAATCCAGACTTTTCTATCGTTTATATAAAGTTGGATAACTATTTTCCACCTCGTTGTTCTTAGCCTCGTCACTAATCAAAATCCATAGCCAGTAAAGCTGATTTTGACATACTGTACATAGAATTTGACACAGGTTTCACTGTAGTCTCAACATACAGTACACACGAATAAACAAGACAATATGAATGAATGAAATCAAAACTATAATTAAGCAAGGGAAACAAAACAGCCTAACTTAGTTTAAAACTTAGCCAAATTTTTTTGGGTATGGTAAAGTTGGGTTCGAAGGGCAGCAGCCTCTGCCGTGATGGAGGCAAAGCAGCGAGTATGGGAGGAGTTCGGGGTAACTATGGAGAAGGACTTTTGGTCGGCACCAAAGTGCTTCTGGAAGACCATCCGGCACCTCAGGAGGGGGAAACGGGGAACCATCCAAGCTGTGTACAGTAAGGATGGGACCCTGTTGACCGCGAATGAGGAGGTTATCGGGCAGTGGAAGGAACACTTTGAGGAACTCCTGAACCCAACTACTACGCCCTCTTTGGTAGAGGCGGAGCTGGAGGCGGAAGAGGGATCATCGTCAATTGGCCTGGTGGAGGTCACTGAGGTAGTCAAACAACTCCGCAGTGGCAAAGCCCCGGGGATTGATGAGATCCGTCCAGAGATGCTAAAAGCAATGGGTGTTGGGGGGTTGTCTTGGATGACACGCCTCTTCAACATTGCGTGGAAGTCTGGGACAGTGCCAAAAGAGTGGCAGACCGGGGTGGTGGTACCCCTCTTCAAAAAGGGGGACCAGAGAGTGTGTGCCAATTACAGGGGTATCACACTACTCAGCCTCCCGGGTAAAGTCGACTCTAAGGTGCTGGAAAGGAGGGTTCGGCCGATAGTCGAACCAAGGATTGAAGAGGAACAATGCGGTTTTCATCCTGGTCGTGGAACAATTGACCAGCTCGTCACTCTTTCCAGGATCATAGAGGGGGCTTGGGAGCATGCTCATCCAGTCTACATGTGTTTTGTGGACTTGGAGAAGGCGTATTACCGGGTCCCCCGAGAGAAACTGTGGGAGGTGCTGCGGGAGTACGGGGTGAGGGGGTCCTTGCTTGGGGCCATCCAATCCTTGTACGCCCAAAGCGAGAGCTGTGTTCGGGTGCTCGGCAGTAAGTTGAAGGCGTTTCCGGTGGGGGTTGGCCTTCGCCAGGGCTGCCCCTTGTCACCAATCTTGTTTGTGGTTTTCATGGACAGGATATCGAGGCGTAGTCGGGGGGAGGAGGGTCTACAGTTCGGGGGGCTGCGGATCTCATCGCTGATTTTTGCAGATGATGTGGTCCTGATGGCATCTTCCGTCTGTGACCTCCAACTCTCACTGGAGCGTTTCGCAGTCGAGTGTGAAGTGGTCGGGATGAGGATTAGCACCTCTAAATCTGAGGCCATGGTTCTCAGCAGGAAACCGATGGATTGCCTACTCCAGGTAGGGAATGTGTCCTTACCCCAAGTGAAGGAGTTCAAGTACCTCGGGGTCTTGTTCACGAGTGAGGGGAAGATAGAGTGTGAGTTTGGCCGGAGAATCGGAGCAGCGGGGGCGGTATTGCACTCGCTTTACCGCACCATTGTGACGAAAAGAGAGCTGAGCTGGAAGGCAAAGCTCTCGATCTACCGGTCAATCTTCGTTCCTACCCTCACCTATGGTCATGAAGGATGGGTTATGACCGAAAGAACTAGGTTACGGGTACAAGCGGCCGAAATGGGTTTCCTCAGGAGAGTGGCTGGCGTCTCCCTTAGGGATAGGGTGAGAAGCTCAGCCATTCGCGAGGAGCTCGGAGTAGAGCCGCTGCTCCTTTGCGTCGAAAGGAGTCAGTTGAGGTGGTTTGGGCATCTGGTGAGGATGCCCCCTGGGCGCCTCCCTAGGGAGGTGTTCCAGGCACGGCCAGCTGGGAAGAGGCCCCGGGGAAGACCCAGGACTAGGTGGAGAGATTATATCTCTGCACTGGCCTGGGAACGCCTTGGGATCCCCCAGTCAGAGCTGGTAGATGTGGCCCGGGAAAGGGAAGTTTGGGGTCCCCTGCTGGAGCTGTTGCCCCCGCGACCCGACCCCGGATAAGCGGTTGAAAATGGATGGATAAAGTTGGGTATATTTATTGGTGTAGCGGTTTTGTGGTAACGTAGTTGGGTATATATACTGAAGTAAGTACATTATGGGCTATATTATGGGCTGGGAGTGAGGACTGGGTGGGCCGGACTTCTCTGGAGCAGCTATAAATCGCCCCCCCCCCCCCCGACGAGGTTTGGTCCAGGACACGTTGGGTTGGAGAGGCTTAACCGCTGAAAGCTGGAGAGCCTGAGTGCTATCGACACTGGTCAATTCAAAACTTCTTTCTGTCTTTCTAAACTTCAACCACATAATACAGTCAATAGTTTAGTTTTGAATGAATTAAATGAGAAAAACGTGTCCAAACTTTCGACTAGTACTGTACATGCCTGACATACATCAGATTCTAATCATTCACCTGCAAAGTCGGCTATCAAACAGTAGATCTTCTGATTATGTAGAACAACCCACTTTAGCTGCTTAGCCACCGTTGTTCAGTCTTTAATCGCCGTCCCTTTTCCTCTCAAAGGAATATAATAGTTGTGTATTGATTCATTTTCTCTTACCAGTAAAGATGTAGAGTTTAGTTGTGGCATCTTCAGTCAGACGCGGCCACAGGGTGACATTGTAGTGTACCGGCACCAGGCTCTTGGGCAGCCGATACCTGTCCCATGGTTCATTGGACGGCGGCGGTGTGACAGGGGGGCTGGATGTTGTTCCCCCATCTGTTGGCAAGACCTGATTATTATTCTTTGCCTTTTCCTGTGAGTAGACAACAGATAGAGCAATGATAGTAGCCAGGGCAGCTGAACCCAGGATGATAGCCATTATCCCAACAGTTTTCCCGATAAAGAAGCCTTTCCCCATGTTGTCTGCTTGTAGTGCAGCCCCGCACTCTCACAGTTCATGTACGGGTGGAAGATATATGTAGCCATGGGTAGCCTCTCCCCTCCCATTCACTCAAATCTGTGATACATTAACAGTGGGATTGTAAATATCATTCTCACCTGATCACAAACAAAACACAAAACATTCTCCCTGACTTAGTTATAGCTCAACTACAGTGGGCCAACTGATCGGAGGAGGGAGTTACCAGTGTGTAGAACCTAGTGTTGGCTTTCAACTATTATCATTATCATTATTATTTTAACATTATTTAACTAAACAAATCATTTACAATCTGGTATAAAAGGAAGCAACGGGAGGTTTGTTAAAATTATAATCAGCTGCTTATCTCTATGACAAATAGATACTGGTTAAATAATTGTATAATATTAGTTCAAAGATTGTCTTGCTCTTCAATTTTCTTCAAAATAATAATTATGATGTTTTGCCCTTTATCCTCTCCAAGTGGTTTATCTCAAGTTCCACTCTTTAGTTAGACTTTAACAAAGAGGCAGTTTCCATATTTTATGAATGTCACTTAGTGACATTCATAAAACAGCAATAAAACTATAAAGCTATCGTTATGACCAGGAAGAGAGGAGTTATGAAAGGTGAAATCCATTGGCAGCTCTCAAAAATCATCAGTTCTTCCTCGAATAATTTTACAAATGTATTAAAGAAGGCGAAACATTTTTATAGTTCCAATATCTAATACCAGGTAGGTATTAGTATTAGGTAATTTTCATACCTTTCTGGAAGACTTTAAGAAATAGTTGTTGCCCCAGATGATTGGTTGCTCTGGCATTATAAGATATCAATTTTGTAACTATGTAAATGAGTCAAATGAGAGACAGAAACCACCATAGCCGTATAAGAATGCAATGGGTAAATTACTTTCCTTAAATAAAATGCATGAAAGTACCTGTGCCGAGGTATGTACAGAGGGTGTATCATGTGTAAATTTGTAATTTGTGCGATACAAAATTGAAATTGAAACTATATCAAGCTATCAAGCTTTAGAAAGGGAAATAATAACAACAACCATTAGCTATTGCTATGTGACAGGCAGTAGACTAAGAAACAAAACTAAAGTGATGTGATCTGTTCAGCGCCTGGTTAAAACGTCACATGTCGATGTTATCATTCCCTTTCGGTGAAAACAGAGACACCTTCACCTTGACAGCACTGTAAAACCCTAAAGTAGATAGTATATGGGTTTTACTGCTCTGACAGCAAGGAACACTGCAAGGTCAGCTGTACCTGAAGAACAATAAAACACTTCAATGTGCAGCATTTCCTTTGAAGTGAGAACGATGTGGAAATTTTCCATATTCTATTTCACTCAGTCCAATGAAGGAATAAGATAATTGTTGATTATTAACAGATTATATTTGAGGACAAAAGTCTCCACAAAGTATTTGGTGCTTGGAATCTGCAGTTAGTTTTGTAAAAGATGGGTGTCTGCTCAGCAGCCAGATAAATGGATGTACTGAAGGAGAGACAATCATCTTGCTATGGAAGAAGAGACCTGCTGATCTAACCAGCTGATATCCTGATTGACAGCGCTGAACAATGACAGCAGGGAAAGAAATGAGTGAGCATTCATAAGAAGTGAAAGGCAAGAGTTTAACGAATAATCCACGATCGTTGGCATGCAAGACTATAGTGTGGCTAAATGAATTTACGCTAGAGCTTCATGGAGCTAACAATGCACAAGGACAAATGTTAAAAGGTTTCTCTCTCACAACTCACACTATTCTTTGAGATATTATTGACATGCATCATTAACATCCTATCAAGAAAAATATATTTAATGCATCAGAGGGTTTACAATAGGATCCAGTAAAGAAAAGACAGGCTTACAATAAGAAGAGCTATTAAAAAACACCTGGATTATTGTGATACTCACTGTGTCCTTGTTATTTATAACTGTGTGATAAATGCATCACTTACTTTGATTGTTGGGTCAAAGTCCGAATAAGAGACTAAACTAATAGTGTTTGCTTTATTTTTTACCATGGAGGTGATGGGACTGTCAAGTACTGAACGAAGTGAAACGTGGAATTGATTACACCGGATTAAAAGTCAGGAGGTCACCACTGTTGGTAGAGTAGAGTATCTTGAGATACTCTACATGGCTGAGCTCCATGTGAGGTCAATTCCTCGAATAGACCCCAAACCACAATTGTCACTATTTTAAGAAGCGTTCATTCTTATTTATAAGATGTCTTCTGATGCAACAGTAAAACTATATGTACTTTTAGATAAAAAATCTTAAGGCAGAGAAAATCAATTATTGCTGTCAATAACAACCACAGCAGCAAACATATTTATTAACTTGTATGCAGACTTTTTTTTCTTGCAGAGGGTATAAGCTAATTTTATAGTGTGATGTCTCGGCAGGCTGGGATCGCGAGTGGGTAAGTGGGTGCCCAAAATAAAGACGACAACCAATGATTCGAAACTTCAAATCTTGTATTCCTAACAAATGTAAAACTTAAATCTGACAAAAACATTGTTTATCAACATAAATCTCTTCGGTAACAGGACGTCAACCATCTCTCCCTCTTTTCGACTCCTCACCTTTTCTGTTCTTCCGAACCCCTAGCTGTCGTGAGGGCAATCAGCCTCATTCCCTTGAGCTGGGACCCGCTGCCTTGCTGACTCTGGGAGTTGTTGTGCCACATCGTGTTGGGAGCCAATTGCAGGTTGACCCCAGGTGGCACTGTGTATTGTATACAATAAACAATTTGTGAAAAATGGATGATGTGTATCATGATACTGTTGAAAAAGAAGCCAAAGAAATAAAATGTGATCCCACGGAAAAAAGAACAAAAAGGTTGACGTCGAAAGCAATCTCAGTGGTGAGGGAAAGGCTTCAAATGGAAAGGAATGCTACTTTGTACAAGCAGAGAAAATAACGACAAAAATCACAAGACGCTTGGCTTCCAAGGGAAATACCTCTATTGTCCAACAAAATCTAAAAATATTTAAAGGCCTATGTCAAAAGGCTTCTGAAGTCCATAAAATATTGCTCATTGAGTTTTCTCTACCCGAGGAGGAGCTGAGAAAGCAAGATGCATCCAAAGAAAGCTATCCATGATATATTTTTTGAAGAAATATCCACATGGCTGAAGGAAAATTAATTTGTTCTTATTGATGACATTGACAATGATGATTATGAAAACGTAAAATCTCAGTAAACTGTGTGGGAACTTGAACGGTTACGGCGTTCTACCAAATCAGAAGGATCTAGGCTAGTTTGGCAAGACAGCCTTAAAACATATAAGAAGGCTCTCCGTAACGCAAGAGCATCTTATCTTATTACTCATCAATCATTAATAGAGAAAAATAAAAACATCTCCAGGTCCAGAGTCACAGCTCTGTCGAGCCTTGTATTATAACGTGTGTCCTCTCTCTATATTAATCCACAGGCTACACAGTGCTTCCTAGCCTGTGTAACCTTTGCTGCCGGTCCGGATTACCCCTAGGTCTGGTGCCGGTAACAATTGGGGGCTCGTCCATGATTATCTAGCGTCCTTGCCAGGTGAAGTGGGTGCTAAAACAATGTGAACCTGTGGCAAAAGCTTCAGGGAAGGCTGCAATATAGTGCGGAATCCAGAGAGCAGAGTTCACCATGGTAACGGTAAAATGGCCACTGTAAGAGCTGTCTGACTTGAGTGTAAGTCAACTCCTGAGAGTTGCGAGTTCAATTGATGATGTGGGTACAACTGCCAACATCGATGATCTGAGCGAACCAGAACTGTATGACCTGATTGTTGACTACATCAGAAGTGAAAAACTGTTAGACCTGGAGGATGGAGGGATGTTCCAACTTCTGCTCCTCGAAGAGTGACCTGCTGGCCACAGACTCCAAAGTGGTAGAAGCTAACCACTGTGATTAAGATCACAAAACCTGGTTCATTCAGAGATATGCTAACTAACAAAGATGACTTAACTGTTAATGAGCTAAAGCGCTTTCTCCGTGCTCACATCACAGATAAAAATACGACTGAGCCTTTCCAAGAGCCCACGGCAGTTTTTGTACAAAACCATGGGTTTAAAGCAGCGAGTGTTTTTTGAGTCCCAACAGCCTGGTGCGGAGTTTAGATATGACAAAAGGCTAGTTCAAGGTACTTTTCTCCACACACTTTACCAAGGGTTAAATGAAAAAAAAAAACATGTTCGACATGATTTAAAACCCCTCAAAGACCTACAGGTTAGTGATGATTTTCTCTTAGATCAAATTACTAAGTCTACTACTGAGGAGGCAAAAAGACTAAAACGCCTTGGCACAGTAGCTAAAACCCCACCAGTGACGGTAAGCACAGTTCAGCCTTAACGAGACTGACTCAAGTAAGCAAGCTAAAGTCGACATCGAGTTACAGGCTAATCGTGCTGCTATTACAGAACTGACGGCACAAGTGTCCTCACTGATCAAACATCTGGCCCAGATGGGTAAACCTACTGACAGTGCGACACCAAAGGACCCCTGCCCACCAGCAGTCCGTCCTCAGGCACCAACAACAGAGACTAGGAGCCGATGCAATGACTGTGTACAACAAGGAAATATGAGCTGCCCCTACTGCTTTGTTTGTGGTCAAGCAGGACATTGCGCCATAGGCGGTCTAAAAAAAAAGATGTCGGGAAACTGGCTGAGGTCACTCGAGCAGGACAGCCAGCAAGCTTAGCAATCAGCATTTTTGTGGGCAACTATAAATTGTATGTTTTGCATTGTGATTATTTCTGTTTGTAATAGCCATGTAATCATTGTGGATACGTGTTATTGTTTTGGAGGATAATTATTATTGTGACCTTCTTCAGGTCAGGTTTTTGAATCAGGACATGAGCAGTACCTGAACCACATTTCAGGTACTGGGTTACCATTGGGAGATACCAGATGGAGATACCAGATGGACCAACCTTCCATTACTGTGGAGACGTGGTAGGACAAGTACATTAAAAACATTTCCAAGGACCTCAAAGTGGATTATATATTTTTTCCATATTTTTCTCCCCTCATGTGATGAACCGAATGGACTTACCGAATTGTTTTGTTTATGAATACATTCTATAAATGCCCCACAGTGACAGCTGGACTGACTCACCAGTTTTTCCACACACATTTGGCTCTGTAGGCAAATTTGAAATGTTTAGGTTAAAGTAAGAATTAGGTTAAACCTAAGCTAAGAAAACATTAAAGGATGGTTACAAAAGCTACAAAACTACTCGAAGCACACTTTGCAGCTCCATAGACTGTAATTCTCCACCGCATAGTCTTCCGGCAGCGCAACCAAAAAGTGGGTGAGTCAATTCAGCACTATATAGCCAACCTCTGCAGCTTAGCTGTTTTAAATTTGGTGATATGGGACAGGAAAGGATAAGGGACCAGCTTGCAGAACATGCAACCCACCCCAAAATTTGTGAAAAGTTGATTATGTCACCGGATGATTTGACTCTTAAAACGGCGCTGGAAATAGCCTTGCAAATCGTAAACCCTACCGAGCTTACATCACAACTAGCTCCCCGCGGTTTCTCTCCGCCCGCCTTAACACAGCATGTGGCAACTGTGGCTCCTCTTCACACATGAGCAGAGCCCCAACATGCCCAGCCAGGGGAAAAGTATGCCAGTGCTCCAGGAAAGACAACTACTTCGCCAAAGTCTGCCGCTCTGCACCAGCTGTGGTCGGCCCACAAACAGGCCCACGACAAGCTGAAGCTAGCTGTAAATAGTCTTGTAATGATATGTTCGGGCTGGACTGAAGTCATTAACAATGTATTCTGAATGATACCTACTATGGGTTTTCTATTGATATGATTTGTCATTTGTGTTATCTCCCACTTAGGGATGTGAGTTGGATCTCCCCTGGAGAGGGGGGAAAATGTTATGTCTCCACTACAGGGCTTCACGGCATCCCCGTATTTTGATAACATGACTGAACTGTGGAGAAGAAGCTTACACTTCGCCCCCTGTCTGTCTTAGTGGATAGAGTCAGATAGAGATTGTACATATGTTTGTCACCTTAGACCAGGGGGGTGTTCAAACCTTTTGCAAAGAGGGTAAAGTCTAGCTGCCGTTAAAAAGAGCACATTGCTGTTTTTTTCCACGGCACTCGTGGTCACACTGCAGCTCAATAAGCTCCAGCTGCAGCTGTGGATGTCCACGCAGAAGGGAGAAGGAAAAAAAATATATGTTGTTAAATTCTCCAGAAAAAGGTGGGATAGCTGTTTCATAACTCTTTATTTGCGCAGCGATGTTGTCCTGTTAGAAACTGTCAAAGACCTCTTTCAAAGAGTGTGCGTTGTAGGCCTCTGTTTGGCGTGTTTTTAGAAAAGTTTGCACTTGAAGTTACATACATGTCATTATAAAAGTCTTTCTGGGAATTACTTTGACAGAACCAAACTCGAGAGGTTTTAGTACAGAGCGTTCAGGCAAGCATCATGCATTTTATTGTTACGCTGCCACCAAGTGGCTACATATGCGTGTATTAGCTTTACATTATTTTTACATACAAGTATAGCAGCCTGATCTCCAAAACCTGTTTGTAAAAATGTATACGAAAATTTTGAACATACAAATTCGTAGTGATACATAAATAAATACGAACTGCAACTGATGACGTCACCCTATTCAAAGTGAATGGGGACCTGCACCCCGTAAACACACTTTGTGAAGTCTAACGTGTTATGATTGCATTTTTAACGAGAAATCAATGTTAAATTGTAAGAATAGAATACTAACCCTAACCCCCTCAAAAAATACAACATGGCGGAGAGACGTTCACTCAAGAATCTAACATAATCCGCCATGTTGTTCACTCAAGGGGCGTGGTTAACCACCGCCAGTTCGTATGTATTGTTACGAATTTGTATGTTCAAGATTTTCGTATACATTTTTACGAACAGGTTTTGGAGATCAGGTTGAGTATAGTGATAGTAGATTCAAATTTGGTAGCAAACAATAAGCATTTAAGAGAAGCAACTGTGTTTAATATTGTAATAAATTGTAGGCTTAATAACACTAAAATATATTTACTACATTTCAAGAAAATGCTCCTTGTATGCATACTACCAACCTGTTTTTTGTAAAGGTCATCCAGCTGTAATCAAAGGGCTGCTGTGCGTTTTATTTTTCAAATATAGGTTCACCTCGCTGGTTGAATTCACTGACTAGATTCAACTGAATTCATCAGCATTCAGCAGCATTCATGATATAGTATCACTGTCAGCAAACTGCATGAAAATATGTATAAATTTAAGAACCACGAAGAAAGACATTGTCACAAGTAGAATCGTGATGCCCCTTCACAAAAAGATACTTCTACAAAGATGCTGTGGAGATCATTATTCCAGACAGTAAACCATACTACTTATAGACTGCATTCTAAATGTCTGTAATGATGTGATATGTCTAATGTGTGATATATATATATAAGTCTGTGAGAGACCTGTTCAACTACGGAGGCCCAAGGAAAAGGATTTTTTTGTGATCATTCCACCATTATATAACACTACTGACACCATCAAAACATCCTAAAACATTCCTCCAAGTCTTGCTTACTAAAAAGATTTGCCTCGAAAACACCTGTGGCAGGGAATCCCTGCTGATTATATGGGCCTTGCGGCCTAATGGAAACATAGCTCCACCCATTAAGTGGTGGGAGGTTACAATAAAAGCAATAACAAAATGGCTCTTACGCAACCATCCATTTAAAACAAATCTTGAAATGATGAGTTATGAAAAAGCATGCCTTGTATTTAATGTACCTTGGGCAGGGGTATCTCGGAAACTAAAGCATTTCTTTGGGATTTTCTTCTTTACTATTATCTTAACCCTTTAAACTTTTGACAACGTGAAGGCAGGGTAATCGTTGCCATAGCAACAGGACGCCATTAGGCAGCAGAAGAAAACCTCTAACCTCAAATAGAAAACTACAACCGGAGCACAACACGAAGAGGAAACTGCGTCGAAGATGCCGGTGCTAGTAACGGACTACTTGTGGACACAGACGGATTCCGCGGTCTGGTTAACTGTGCCACTAAAAGGAACGAAAGTTAGTAACGTGGACATCCTGTCTACGGATGAATACCTGAAGGTAAGGTTAGCGGATAGACGTTAGGCTGTTGTAACTTTACCTCAGCTAAAGTTAATTAACTTAAGCAATATGGTACGAGAGGCTGTACGTTATTGTCAATAATGTTACAGTTCAAGCGTGTTGTTAGGCTGCCTCGACCATATTGCTTTAATAATACGGTTACCAGTGACATTACATAGCTGCCTTTCAGTTCAAGTTGTAGCCACCAAACGGTGTATCGCATTTCAGGAGTCTAGAGAAAATAGTCCCCGTACGTGTGTCTGTTGCTATACAACAGACAAACAGCGTTGGAGACATCACGTGTTAGCCTGGCACCAGAAGTTGGTTGATGATTAGCTAGGTAATCGACAATAATGTGTGCGTCCCAAACATCCCAGGTCTCCTTGCTAGATATCAGACCTTCTCATTCATTCACATCGCTCAGGACGTATTTTTTAGTCGATCGCCACCGGGCTAAAAAATGAAATGGCAACCTACGGTCTCGCAAAATCTGACTTCTTTTAATCGCCGCACTGATATGGAACGCTCAGGTTAATGTAAACAGGTACTCTATGTTATGGCTACATTCAGTACACCCAGTTACGAACTCTCAACCATCAGAACGCTTGATTTCATCTACCCGTATTACACATTAATATACGATACGGGATATGAAACGTAAGTAGAGGCAGCCAGTTGAATGGTGAATTTATGCTACTTTGTTGAATTGATATATTTGTGAATCTGGCTTTGAAAGACTCCCCAGCCACGGACCTCACCGCACGTCACTGGATGCACCCACCATCAGATAGAACCACCATCCACAGAAACCCATGAGGAGGGAAAGCACAAAGACTTCAGGAAATTAGCAGTATTGCTAATTAGTTATTAGTAGTATTTATAATCGTAGTGGCCATTTGTCCTACAAATCTTTAAATGTCAAAGGACCACTACTGCACCTAGATTTGTTTCCTTTCACGCAGTAAGAAAGCATATCGTCCAGGGAAATGTTTCTTTTTGTTTCTCATTTATTTCATAGAATCCACCAAAACACATACACTAAAGCTGTCTGCTTTCCTATGCAGTGCTCTGTCGCTGTGCCTCACTGGTAAAAAAACAACATTTGTCACCCAGGTGCATGCTGGTCCCACCTGACTATGCCCCTAAGTGACCAGGTGCCCACAGCATTACCCAATTGGTGATCAAATTACCCAAATAATAATAAGCAAACTATATTCAAGACTAAATAACTAGATAGATACTTTATTGATCCCTCAAGAGGGAAATTTTGTTATCACAGCAGCATGTACAGGGAAGATAGAATAAAAATATATACATTATATACACATTATATACAATATAAGATAAAAAAATATTAAATTATTAAATTAAATAAACTAAACTGAAACAAAAGAATAACCTTCAAAAAGAGACAATAATAGTAGACCGTTGAAGGAAAGAACAAAAAACAAAATTAAGTCAAAGGTCTGTTATATTTTAAGAGTGTATAATGGCTTTATTTGGAGCTGAGATACAAAATGCTTATCACTCAAAGGTCTGTTATATTTTAAGAGTGTATAATGGCTTTATTTGGAGCTGAGATACAAAATGCTTATCACTATACACACACAAAGTAATCACAAAAAACTCCTATTTAAGTATAAAAGAGTTCATTAAATTCTAACAATGCTGATCATGACAAAACTATATTAAATTATTAACAGCTGCTGTACAATAACTGGCCTACCATCTTTCTCCATGTATGGAGAAAGTAAGTGTGTGTGTGTGGGTAGGGGGAGAAGCAAGATAACTACCAAAATCGCGGATGTATTCCCGTGATTATTATGCAATGCAAAATAGAAATGGCACTAGCCATATTTTATGAGTGTATTAAAAGGGCTTTCTTTCACATAAACATACAATTGTTATGATCCAGTCAGTCCCTTTGGTTGTCCTCCACTGTGGTTTTAAATGTGCATTCCTATTTTTGTTCACAAAAATTATTGGCTGAGAAATGATTTCAAAGTAACATGTTTTATAACCTAAGGCTTTTCAATCATAATTTCTTAGCCAAAAAAGTATTTCTATTAAAAAGGTTAAAAAAAAATCTCACCTGATGTATTCTTAGGTGACATCAAATGCAAAAAACTGTCCTCAAATCGTACGCCTAAATACAGTGGATTAAAGGCAGCTCTTGAATCTAGAAAACCTTTCCTTGAATCTCTTCCTCTTTTTAGCCTCTTATTTGTTTAGGCTTGCCTCCCAAACAGTACGAAATGTTTTCCTCTTTATTTCCTGCACAGGTGCATTACCCACCGTATCTGTTTGAAGCCTTCCTATTTGAACCTGTTGATGATGATAGAAGCACTGCAAAGGTCGGAAATGGAGTTGCAGTTTTTAGTATGCCAAAGAGAACCAATAAAGTCTGGGAGCATCTGATGACAACTACAAGTAAGAGCATCTGGCTGACCCCATTTCATTACAAGCTGTCTTCCATTCAAGTTATTTAATATTTAGGTCAAAGCTGTGTGCTCCAAACCCTTTTGTGTGTTGTTTCAGAGACTCAAACTCTTATCAAAATACATTTTATTAGCAGTTTCTCACTCCCTACTGATTGTTATAACAAAGCTAACTGCTAACAGCTAACTGCTAACATCACTACCAGTACACATGCTGTGGAGCACCTCTCAGCTGCTCTATGCCTCTCTTCTTTTCTTTTTTGGAGATGGGCTTGTCTAATTTTTGCTGAGTGGGCCGATTCTTAGGGACTGATAATCACAGACAGTAGGACTGAAAAGCAGACACAGGAAAACATAGTTGCGTGAAAGTATGGTCTTTTGAGAAGATTGTATGGTGTGTTTTTTGGGTGGGGTTTGTGTGAGTGTTTTGGGATGCCTTTCAGCCCGTAGGTGTCTACACCAAGAACTAATGTCGGTTGTATCCACTTAATCTACACCAGTGTCTTTTTCTAGTTATTACTTTCTGTTGTATCATTATTGTTGTAAGAGTAAAATTGTGTCATCTTGTATAGACATATTTTATGTCAAGAGGGAGAGAGGAAAGGAAAGAGAGGGGGTGGACTTGATGGTGAGGCTAGGGTTGCTGTAACAACTGGATTAAGTGTTAAAGTTATGAGGAAATAATTCAGTCCAACACGTTTTGGGTTTTTCCAGTTCTCACAGCAACCCTCCAGGCTCATATTCAAGTCTACCTTCCTCTCTTCCCTTTCTCCTCCTCACTTTATTACCCTCCCACCTCCAGACGCCAAACAGCGCCGGGCTAGTGTTAAGAATTTTTAATCCTCTTGACATAAAATACTAATATTAAATATGTGTATGTAACAGATGTGTTTAGGGCATGGAAGTAGTCGACTCGGGTACTGATCTTTTCAGCATTTATTTGCTCCTGCAGAAGACCATAAAACACAGACATTGCCTTTTGGTCTCCGCACATCAGCTCCCTACACACAGGGTCTTCAACAGAGTAACACTTCTGTGAAGGAAAAACGGGACTTACGCAAAATCTAAATTATAGCTTGTCAAAGATCCAAATTATGACAAAAATAAACAACAGTGACAACTGCAAAAATTCCAGCATTAAAACAAAAGAAAACACATACCTGCAAAAGACAATAAAACAGACATTGCCTTCTGGTCTCCGCACATCAGCTCCCTAAACACAGGGTCTATAGAGGGAAACGTATACGTCAGGACGACCGGATGTAGCGAGTACAAACGGCGCGAAATTAAACAATGACCAAACGTATACTTTATCACCACTCCATCGTCTAAAATAATGACGCACCACAGCTGAAACCGTGGTCCTGTTACCCACGCTAATGGTAGCTGATGTTACCTTCAACAGAGTAACACTTCTGTGAAGGCAAAACGGGACTACGGAAGCCTAGGAGGCGCAGGGGAGATGAATCGCAATTTCCGCAAATTTAACTCATCAAAATAAAATTCACACACACACACACACACTCAACAAGATTGTTGAATAATAACCAAAAATAAGATACATTACATTGAAAATGACAGTGTATTTCTAACTCCGTTACATGTATACAGTATTTGATGTCTGTTGGACACCAAATTACTGCGGGTTGGACTCATTTCAGTACAATCATTGTGGGCTCAAATGAATTTCAATGAATTCACCAAAATATTTTTTCACGCAAAAATAGTGTAATACACATTTAAACAAAATCCATGCAAAAATTGGATTCTTACATTTATTTCCGATGTTATCAGAAATATATAATGAATAGAAATCCAATCAAATGGTTTCATCAAAAAGACATTTGGATGTTACAGTTTTCAAAACTGCTTGCTTATTTGTTTGTTGGTTCTTTAGACTCTTTTGACATGTGTTTGAGACTGAACTGTTCGCATATCAATATTATCTTTACCAGGGACTGCCTGGTATCTTTAGCTTCGTTTAGTTTTCTAAGGCAGTGACATTCTTCAATGTCTACGTTGCCGTAGTGATCACACACAACATTCTCAACTGGGGTGTTTCAAAAGTCTTTTCCCAACAATGTTTCTTCTTTCTTCGTCCCTGGTACAGCTTCTCTGCTGCTTTTGTAAGGGTTCTTACTTTGTCAGCTTGGAATCGTTTGTGCTGACAAAACTGCCTTTGTTTGTTCTCCAAAAGGTCTGCTTCCTTGACGTTTCAATTCCATGACAACGTCCAAAGGAGTAAAAGTTCTCTTTAATCCTGTGGATCTTCAGACTCGCCAAATGAGTCCTGGTTTCTTTGCTCGTCAGACTCCTGTCGTCATCCAAGCATTTTGTAATATTCATTGGGGCTGTAGTTGTTGGTTCTTCTTCATCCTTGGTGTGGCGGCGAAGCGAAGTCGAGTCCAGGATCCACTCAAACATATCCTCGAATGATAAAAACAAAAACAACAAGGTTCAGTCTTCTATTTTCTATCAATTCTAGACATACTTAGTTTTATTCCCTATTTATCTTTCCTATTTAAGAATTGTGCTTCTGTTTTGTTGTAAATTTGCACATTGCAGAAATTATGATCTTATTCTTCTAAATTAAAGGCCAAAACGAATTCCCTTGTATTTAATTAACATAATCAAGTACATTAAGTACATAATCCAATTATATTCCAGATAAATATTTGCACTCAGAATTCATTTCACTCAAGCAAATTCAAGAACACACACAGTGTTGAATGCAACACTGTGCAAATTCAAGAACACACACAGTGTTGAATGCAACACTGTGCGTGTTCTTGAATTTGCTTGAGTTACTCCAAGAAAGGAGGATTAACCTATAGGCTGCCTTGTTGGCCCCCACCCTCGTACAGCAACCTTGTTGATGCAACCTCTCTGCATGTTGCGTTTGGTTTCCCATTGTTGTGTGGGAAACATTAGATTCAGTCCACTGGTACAGTTTAAAGTCAATTCATTACAGTTTAACAGGCAACAGTTCGTGGTAGATTCAAACATCCGGTTTCACGGTCAAAAACCCCTCCGTTGTCAAACACCTGACAAACACCGCAAGTCCACAACCTAAATACTCAAGCTAATTAGTGCTTAGTGGACCCCCACCCGGTGTACACAAAGGCGAACACAGTTCTGACATAACACACATATTTGACTCCTGTTCCCCAGGAGACCATCTCCGCTTGTCCTCTCCTCTTTGTCCTCCACCCGAACACCATCCCGTCTTTTGAAGGCCTCCTCCCTGCTCCACTCATTTTGTCCCCAGCACCCTAGTCCGCGGGCCTCCGCGTCCCTATTTGTCTCAGGACTACATATAAGAACAGACAGGTTTTAGATAATACTTCATCATCATCATATTAATTATTTTGTTTCTCTTTTTCTTTTCTCTGCTCCGCAGCACCATTGAGGCTGGTATAAACACATTTGTTTGGGGATTCGAGTCCATAGAATCCCAGGAATAATGTACTGGTATTTGTTGCTTACCAGTCCCTCTGTCCTGTAGCTGGATGCTAAAGTTCTGGCTCATAGCTTTGTTTAATGCAAGCACACGTCTGGGCTCTGGCTCTGTGGGACCAGGGTTGTGGTTTGTGATGGGGATTGAGGAGGTGGAGGAGGATGTGACGGGTGGATGAAGGCTGGAGAGTGAGTTGGAGGAAAAACAGGCCGAGGAGGCTTTGTCTCCAGTATGTCAAAAACCAATCAGGAGGATTATTTCACATTATCAATTATCTTGTTAGTCACTTTTACCATGGCTTTGCCTTAGTTAAACCTTCTTTTCTTTCCCTAGATTTCCTTTGAATCTGTGCTCGATTTGACCCTTCAGAAGCTGATATTTTACAACTGTCAACTTCATGTCAATCCCATATTATTTTTTTTTTCAACTTTTTAAGTGTTTTAACACTCCTCTCGTTTATCATCTTCGACTTTTAAGAATTTTCCAACTTCTAATAATAATACATATAGAATGGAGCCGCTCCCCATCTTTTGCTGGGGAGCGGCTCCATTCTATGTATTATTATTATTTACTAGCACTTGTATCTAGAACTATTTCAGGACTGTCCTGACGGTTAATAGAAGCCAGCTTTTGTTTTTACGACTTACTGACACAGATAACAATAAAACGATTTCCATTTTTACGACTTACTGTCACGGCAGGAACTCCCAATTTCTGTTTCTTACTGTCACGGTTCTACAGAAAGACCTGATTTCTAATTTGTATTACTCCATGGCAACGGCTAATAGAAACAAATCGATTCCTGTTTTTAGTACTCTCCCCGGCCACGGTAACAGTGAACTCACAACTTCTATTTCCTGGACTTACCGGTCCATGGCTAACAGAAACTCCCGATTCCTATTTGTTTAGGACCCTTGGTCAACGGAAATAGAAACTACCGGTCAAATTCAGGTATTTTGTCCATGCATTTTATATGGACTTAAGGTTTAAAACATCACAACCTCAGGATCAAAGCTTTACCCCCCAAACCTGACTAGAGACTGTTCGAAAGCCTTCTTACCCGTAGTGAAGAAAAACACGGGCCCGGTTTTATATACGCTAATATAAAGTAATTGGAGCAGCGGTGTACAAAGTTCACGATTGTGGCCATGTGGAGAAAAATAGTCTAAAATACTAGGGTCACATTTCAACCAGCTCAACTAGGGCCCAGTACAACCTGCACAAACCTCAGCTACGCCTGGTAATATAATACATAACTTATAACTGCAGATCAACGTGCTGTAATAAAAACAAGTATATAATATAATCACTATAAATGATGATGCACATGATATGCAATTATATGACCAAAAGGCAAAGGGTCGGTCACTGTAGGCCAAGATTAATTTCATGCACAATTATCATAACAGCAGTAACTTTGTTATATAGAACCTAAAAAAAACTGTTGAAAAGGGATTTATTAATTAGGTAAAAGTTAATTAAATTTAGGAAAAACTAAATTTTCAACCGAATGAGTCATTCTGTTGAATGTAAAAAAAAAAAAAGTGATTTAAAAAGAGATTGTCGGAGGCTTATCTCCTCAGCCAGCTCGTTCCAAAGCACAGCCCCCTTTTGTTTTCCCCTGAGGATCAAGGCTCTGAGCTTGCCCATAAGCGGTCAACATTCATTACATATACTTTGAGGCTTGACCCATATGTAACTTAAAAGTGAAAATTGAAAAACTAGCTGCAGGTGAGATAATAAACTTGAGAGGAGGAGTTACAGGGCTCAAGTCTTGACAAGACAAAAGCCTCAAAGACTTTTTCCAGGTCATCTCATTTAGGTGACGCTTTTAGCCACAGCAAATTTTATTGCAAGGGTGCCCAGGGAGCAGATAGGGGGACATGGAGCAACCAGGGTTCGACACAGCACACCCTCTGTACTCCATGCACCACGGTCAGATCAACAATGGTAAGATTTGATGATTCTTCTAATTTTAAGGGACCAGGACCGGACAAATGTTGTGGTTTGTGATTAGTACTTCTCATAAAATGGACTTTATGACAGGACCATAGGGCACTTTCAATGAGGCGGATACTGTTGGGCCTAGATAATATGATTTCTGATTGAGTTATTGGGCTGTAATCACTCAGGTAATCCAAAATAGCAACCTTTGCTCATCAAATGGTTATGCAAACACAGACACCCACACACCGAGGGAGCAATATTTTAAAAAGAGAACCTCAGCCAGAAAACACAGCCATAAGCAAGACCGACAGGGCCATGTAGACAGACAGACAGCCATAAGCATAAAGACATAGAACCATAAGCAGACAGACAGCAATAAGCATAACAGACAGGGCTGTGTAGACACAGACAGCTATAAGCAAGACCAACAGACAGACGTAAGCAGACAGACGGACTGAAGGCGAAATGTTCGCTTGACTAAAAGTCTCCAATGCAAAGTATTTCACAATTACTACTTAATATGTTTCAGATGATAAAGAAAAGAAGGAGGTCAGAGAAAGGTCTCTATTGAAGTACCAGGAGAAGCTCTCTGCACAGTCCATATCAAAGGCAAAGAAACAGCATGCAGATAAGAAATATGCACTGGAGAGAATGATGAAGGTAACATACTCAGTGAAAGCTTCATCTACTTACACATCACACCAAGATAAAATCTGCTGGGAAATCTAGAAGGAAATTCAGTGTATTTTACTTGATCTCAGCTTGAAAAGGAGAAAAAAGACGGTATCCAGAAAATCAAGGAGAAAGAGCGAGAGAAAAGCACAGCAGAGTTGACAGCATGGAAACTGAGACAAAAACAAAGAGCAGAGCAAGAAGACCAACTCAAAGATCACAGTCAGGGACAGAGTCGAGACGGACTACAAAGCATGACAGAGAAGCAGGAAAATGCCTGTTCTCATGGAGCAAGTTGCAAACGGGGTAAGTCACTTCCTGTGCGATCAAGTAGACACTAGTTTTTTTCTCTTTTAATTAGCACATTCCTGCATTTAGATCTGAAAAGTGACAGTGAAGCAAAGAGCAAGAGCAAAAAAAAGGACCTCCCTGCTCCGAGACTCGTTGGAAACATCCAAGTCACATTCACCCCGCGGCTTTTTCTAACAGCCCTGAGGGAAACAAGAGTGATAGAGGAGGAAGAGGTGAGCATTTCTGACTTCCTTTTCTGTCAGTGTTGTTAAACAGCAGTAAGTTTAATGAAGAGAATCCTCTCCAGTGCAGTACCCAAAGTGTCAACATTCACACACTGATTACCAAAGAACACACTGGAGGAGCATGGGATGGAGCTGTCAATCTTCTCTTTAGTGGACAAGCCACTTTGATTTCCACCGACAAAATGATGGCATGATTTATTCTTCCCTCCTCATTTTTTGTCTCTTTGCATGCATGGTGCACTAATTCACTTCAATCAGGGTTTTGCCTATCATTAGAAACCCCCAGCCCTCCTTAGAAGGTTAATTTTGTCTTATTTCATTTTCTATATAGCGCCAGATCACATAGGCACGTGCATGCATGCACACAGGCACAAGCGTCCACGTACACATACACACAAAGCTGAGCACACTCCCACGAGCAGAGCCAGAGAGCACGCGGCAGAAAATGTGTCGGTGTCCGTCCGTCCGTTCTGTTTTCTGAGTTGAACTATAATTGAATCAACAGTGGCTCAAACAACAAGCTGAAGCCAGGCGTACCGGGAATGCAGATGTAGAAGAGCTGGAGGACCTGAAGAGGGAGGAGAGGAATCCTGATTGGTTAAAGGACAAAGGGGAGTGAGTGAAGTCTGATCTCAAATCTTTGTCACATGTTTTTTGTAATCCACGGTATCCCTAAATTGTTCTTTTCTTTCAGCAAATGTTTTATGACTGGTGACCACCTGGGGGCAGTGAACGCGTACAGCCTGGCTATCCGGCTAAACAGAAAGATCCCAGCTCTATATTCAAACAGGTCTGCCTGCCATCTGAAGTTAAAAAACCTTCACAAGGCCATTGCGGACTCCTCTCAGGTCTGTACATTCCCTGTGTTTACATGTGTTAATTTTTATTGCTGCATTGCACTGTATTGAGTCAAAGCTGTACTGCACATGTTGGTGTCTGGAAACTGTTGAATGAATTCTACCACTGCAGCACCGTTGATACACTTCACATCGGACACATCTTTAATATTCACTATTTTTAATTTCAGTCTGATTTAGTTTCTACTTGCATGATATAGCAAAGCTAGATTAAGCTGTTATGTTAAGTAGGAATACACTTCTGAACACTTTTCTCTGCAGGCACTTGATCTGTTAATTCCACCAGTTTGCGCCAATGCAGCAGCCAGAACCAGAGCCCATGTCCGCCGAGGATCTGCCTTCTGCCAGCTACAGCTCTACGCAGAAGGTTTGATAAGCAGCAGTTACTGTTCTATTTGGAACACTTTTACGTGACTATACATCATTGAATTTGATGTCTTGGTTTTAATGACGCACACATTTTGTATAGTGAATATATCATTGTAGCCTGTCTTTTCAAAATAAGTGAATTGCTGCTCAGTGGTCTCAGCTGATATACCTGTGGCATGTTTTCTCAGGCCTACACGACTACCAAGCTGCTCTAAAGATTGACCCTGACAACGAAGCGTTGCAAGCAGACACGCAGAGAATCAGAGAAATTATTCAAGGCACTGCAGCGAGCCACTAGTCACAGTGAAACACAAGCTGCTGTGAATATGGAATATGGATGTATATTGTTGCTGTTATTTGTGTGTTACCCAAAGCTCTATTTAATGAAAGGAAAAAAACATATCTGCAACCCTTAAACCATAGTTTAAGACTGTTGAATCCCTGTTGTATTCATTGTGCTACAGACTACATACCTATGTCACTGCGTCACACTGATGAATATGATATGATGAGAGCGCATAGGAAAGACTCCATCAGTGTGAGCAGAACACCCTTGAATTGACAAAACTATACAATGCTCTAAACCAAGAGGAGACTTCTTCAGAACGGTTGGCAGTGAAGACGACAGAGGCAGTTTGCATTGCAGCGAGAGAAAGAGAATCAGACCTTCATAGTATAACACCCGACCATACTGCCTGCGTGAGCAGCACAAGACGGCTGTTTTAATGTTGCAAACCTTATCTACCTTATCTATGAACAGTAATAAAATACTACATACTTCCAGTTCGTTTCCTCGGACCACATGCCAAACTGCGCTTTCATTTTGATCTACACTACACACAAGTGTCATGACAAAGTTATACTAATTAGTGACATCTGACCACAAACAAGCATGAAAGCAAGTAGAGTAAATAAAAATGGTGGTAGTTTAGACCATGTTTGGATTTCAATGGCTGAAGAAATTCTGTTGGGTAATTCAACAATGAAGTTGGGGTGGAAGGGACAAGGAGCTCCATGCCCACGACCGTGATTTATTTAAGTAAACATCTAAAATGAAGCAGAGCATTTAGCCACTGTTACAGTTCAGTCAGTCTTGTTCTATACTACTGATCATTGTCATCCACTGAAACTCAATGTTTGGTGATTCTCAAGTTATCAAGTAGCCCAATAAAATGGGTATGAAAATTTACGCAGATTAAAACACACCAAAACAATTATAATCTATGAATAAAATAATCATATAAAACAGTTATATTTGTATTATTATTATGCATCTCTACAGCATTTCAAGGGCAAAGTATAAGCTTGCGTACTGTGTGTATTGTTCCTTATTTATATTTAAAAGGCAATCCACATTTTATGTTCACTGTATTATGTTATAAAAAGTTAAAATAATTGTGTCTGTTTTCACTGGGGCTCCAATGCATTCACCATGCTTTTACTTTTTTAACTTACTTTAGACTTTTTATTTGTTGAGCTTTTTCTGCAGATGGAATGAAATGAAAAGGTACAATCTACAAAAATAGATTGGTGAAAAATGTAACCACTGAGCCAGTTGTAACAACACCAGTTACATTGTTATAAGAGGTTAAAGAATCAATTACAACATTCCATCAAAGTGAAAACAAAGTTGTTGGGTGTGAAACACAGGATCAAGCTGTGGAAATCCTCCTGTGATGATGTCTATTAGGGGATACCTTCTCCACATCTTTGGGAACTCCCTTGATCAGGATTTTATCCTCTTTTTGGCGGAGTATGCATTTAAAAACATGTCCAAAGACTCACACTATATGCTTTTATGACATACCTGTCTACCTTGAGTACAGCTGCACTGTAGGCTATAGAGATCAGTATCGACATAACACGGCGAAGGGTAAAATTGTCTGCGTTGTAAATAATTTACAAAACAGAGTTGACTGGCTTCTAAATGTGGGTCCGGAGAAAGATTTTTTTCCCATTCCACTCATCCAAAGAGTTAATTCTGCCAAACATGTGAATCTAACTGAAGTAACAATTAGAGACTTCAACCACACACCCTGCCCTGTGTCCGCAATACAATTGAAAGCTTTAAACGTCCTAAAGACCGTTTGTTTGTTTATTTTGTATTTCTACAAATTATTAATTCTTTTCATCTAATCAAATTTGGCAAAAAAATCCCAAAAATTTTTCAAATTTTCAAATTCAGCATTAAAAGAGCTGCATCATTAAGAGGCGTTCATCTATTGTGGATGTTGCATTGGATAGTCTGATTGAATACAATTCTGTTAAAAAAAGTCTATAATGTCTGTTTTTTGAGTCTTTTCTCATGCTGCGGTAGAGATTATTGGCCGAGAAGACTCATTTGTCCTTAATTTTTAGATATACAGAATATATAATACAATACATGACATTTCTAAATTGTTACTGGGGTGCCTTGAGGATAAAAAAAATGTTGAAATGAAATTGATTAGCAACACATCTTGCTATTGCTGAATCAAAAAAGTTCACATTGCAGTTTAAACTGTGTAAAATTGTTTATCTGGAAACTGCGTTTCTATGCCTCTTTGTACTGAACCATCCTCCTCTTCCTTCCCTCTCCGAAGAGAGCCATCCATGCAAAATATGATTAGACATGCAACTCTGCCTAATGAGCTGAAAAACTGCTGGGTAAGTGTACGCGTGTGTGAGAAATGTCTGTATTTTGCTCCTTTAGTCACAGCTCTGTGTGGTATCGTCTAACACTCTTACTCACAATGTAACCGCACACACATTAGAAACCAGGTTTTGTTTCATGTAAGCGATGCGTCATTTGCACACATGCCATTAGACAGCAGAAGGTGTCAAGCTGACAGAATCTACCAAAGTTTGCTCTAGTTCTTTACAACTAGCAGAGTCAGATTTGCAACATTTGCATTCACTTACAAGCACAACAATGGAAAAAGTGGCAATGGGTTTGGGTGGGTAGCCATCGGCACTAGTAAGTTGGGTTGACAGAAAAAGATACTACAGCCACACTACTTCGTGATCCCGTTTCTAACTGGCCTTAAAACACCCTTGCCACATTTGTGGTAAATTGAGCATGAGCAGATTACTCTATTTTACAGTTGGTTGGTTGGTTCCATAAAATATTTCTTAATTATGGGTGAGAAATGTGGTCAATACACAGATGTGCTAAGCACAAGGACCAGAGCGGACTCTCTTCTCTGAGGCAAATCAATGTCAACATCCAAGTGCATAAATCTCAGAAAGGCATGCACTCGAGCCATGTTGTAAAAGGTAGTTTTTTGTGTTAGTCATATTCATGAGCTCACGAGAGAATACACTGCTATGGTTCATTAACGCTAAAAAACAATCGAGAGGCACATATCTGTTGACTTCATGCTAAAAAATTGAGGACACATTTTTCAGTGACGGCTTAGTGAAGTGAGTTGGAGTACGTACGTACACACGTTCTTACCATTGATTAGTCAGACATGCTGCGGTAGGTTATCAAAACAAGCCAAATGACCAGTTTAGGGCTCTATACAAATACAGAATCCCTTTACCTTCCTTTCTAAAGCCTCGTATTTAGCCAAAGAAGGAAATTGCCAAGATAAAAAAAACTGAGATCGGTTTATGCCGTTCTGAAAAAGGAACCCGCCACCTACCGCTTTTCAATCTCTGCGCTATTGCGCGTTTTCTGTCATTGGCCAGTCACAAAATACCTTTATCCCGCCAACCAGCAACTTGGATGTAGAGATACAATGTTCACTGGGTCCGCCCACTATCTGTCAAAGAAAAACTACTCACGCGCCAGCAGATAACAGGCGAGCGAGCTATGGGGCGCACGTTCTAAAATCCTGCGCAGTTTTGCTACATTTAGCATTATCATATGAACAAAAAAGCACGACAATATTCATATGTCACTTTTTCAAACATTTAGAGAGAAATTCATGTAAATTCATGCAATAACTTTTCCACGGATAATGTTTGGCAGTAACACAAAGTTGTTAAATAATAAAAATGGAAAAAAATGTTAAATGTAGATGTAAATGTTAAATGTAACGAACGCGCGGTCAAATCCTTGGCGATGGTACGCAGATATATCACCTGAACCTCCTGAAAGCCTGGAGGGAGGCGTAGTCGGTTTCTGTCGTGTCCGCTGTATTTGAGAAGAGGAGCTGTTACTGCCTCTCGCCATGTCCCTGCTTACACTACACACTTACGCTGCTATTATCAACACTGCCAACTTTCCTTCGTTCCTGAAGTCTTTGTGCTTTCTCTACCCACAAGTTTTTGTGGACGGTGGTTGTATTTGATGGTGATTATATGAGGTGGGTAAACTATGAGTTTCGATCAGACAGACCTGACGTGATGTGTAAGGCTGTCCTGGTTAAAGTAAAATTAAACCAATGCCAGTAAATTAATGTGTAAATATTGCATGTAGTTTTAGTTTATTAAATATCAAGAAAACAGTAAAGAAAAATATGTGTAGGCCTGGAATATGGGGGAAAAAAGAGAGCACCTCTAGGACTTGATTAGAAAAAAAAAAGAATGCCCAGAATGTTACAGTTGAAAAGTATAACTTCTCCAATGTCCACACAACCTATTTCAGCATTTATAGCCTATACAGCATGTTTTTTCACATTGATAATTGATTTGTTTTTAAAGTGTTCCATTAATCTATGTTTCCAGTATATTTCCCTTACAGGCTACTGTACACCTTTCATCACTTCAAATAATGTATTAAGCACATAGGCTCTTCGGTGAAGCAACACCTCACGTTTCTATAGTTACAGAGGTCTTTTATCAACGTTTTATCGTAATCTCGTAAAAAAAGATTTTAAGGGGGGGTGTAGAAATGGATTTTCATAGTTCTGGGAATGCATAACTCTCAACAGAGATAAACTCTGGGGGACGCGAATGTTTGATTTGCGCTCCCAGATATTGACATTGATTCAAAGATCAGTATGTATGCATGTATTATTCATAATCACAAATTCAATATATTGAAGCAGCAAAACATAGAACATAAGTTTATGAAGAAACTTAGAAATAAACTTTACTGAGAGCTAGGCATGCAGCGGCTATCCCAATGTTCTCCGGATTGCATACAGAAATTCACAGTCAGGGACAGCGAATGGTTGGCTGCGGCGCGTGGTGTTCACAATATCTGTCCCAAGAAGGTCTTGTAAATAAATGGTTCCTGTTCTTCAGGTACACTTGATAGGCATTGCATTCTATCCATCGTTTGGGGGTTTTCCTGTGCCGATAGGAGAGTTTGGGGACAGGAGATGTTGCATTTGTACAGACTGAAAAGCCCTCTGAGGCAAATTTGTAATTTGCTATTTTGGCAAAGTAAAATTGATTAAATTCAATGGAATCCTGCACGTGTGGATCGGTGTTGGTAGGTCTCAAGTACTTTTATTATACTATATAGTCAACGTTGTCTACAGAGCTGTTGGTTGCAGCACTACATTCTCATCCTCATCTTGAAAAAAACCCCCCAAAAAACAGGAGAAGACCAGCCTACAAGCGCTGAACCATTGACACTATTTCACAAAGGAAAATATAGTGTCAAAAGAGTTTTTTGGTTTTGAGATAAAAATTGCATAGACTAACATAATTAAATGCCTTCTGCATATATAATAAGAAGTATCTTCGCAGGCTCAACAGTTTTTCTCATTTAACTCTAAACAAAGACAAAGAAAGAGGAACGATCTAATGAAAAGAGAAAGGGAGGAGTTAGTTTGAGTAAGAAAGAAAAGCAAAGACGAAAATAGTTAAGGTTTTTATTGTCATTTTGGTTATGGTGCCGGACCCAAGCACATAACACCGAGCCAAAATGGTTCAACAGTCTTTATTATAAAAAACCTCGGGCCGCTATGTTGTGAGCAGGCTGGAGGAATGGTCAGCAGGCTGTCCACAGTGCAGGTTGCAGGGAATCCAGAAGGGCAGAGAACCTCAGGCTGAGGAAGACAAAATAAGTTACAAGGTGGCAATGATTGCTAAGTGATTTTAACCGTAGCATTAGTTCCAAGTTTGTGAACTGGCGATCAGGTAAGACATGAGTGGAGGGGTGGGGAATATCAAGCCTGGAGCTTGATTGGTGAATGAATTCCAGCTGCGCCGGTCAATTAGTGGGAGGACCACAGCCCAGACCATTTATATCCATCATTCTAAAAGCCAGTTTCAGATGGATTATTGCCTATTCACAATCTTCATTCTGCAAGCACCTATTCTTCATCAGGCTCCCATGCCTTTTTAACCAGGAGTTAATTTGCCTTTTCATTTTCCATGAATGACTTAATTAATTAACGAGAAATGTTAATCGGTTTATCTGTAAACAGCCTCTCATTTGCTTTCAGTGCCCCCCTCTTCATCCCTTCTGTTATGCCTCTCACATTGTAATCCAGACGAGTTTTCCAATGCGTTAA